ATATTCATTATTTCTGGTGCTAATGGATAATCTATGTGTTTGTCGTGGCATTCTTTCGGATATTCTAAATCAACATCTAAAATATATCCTTTGCTACTGTAATCACTATTGTAATATTTAATGTCTTCTTCTGAGAAATTATCTTTTACAAATCTTATTTTCTTGTATGGTAGTTTTTTACACATTGCTAATCCATAAAGGTTATTAGCATCAAGGTATGAAATATATGAAGATGGTTTAGACTTATCATAATCTTCACCCATATATTTATTGTTAGCAATTGCTTTTTTATAGGCACATTGAACCATACCGCCTCTTAGTCCTTGCTCTATCATTTTATAAACTTCTTCATCGTGTAGAAGTTCTAACTCAATTCCTGTTTTCAATAACATCGCGTCCCAAGCAAAGTTAGGCAAAGTGTAGTAATGGGCGGGGTCTAATTCATAATCTGTTAGACATTGTTTTCTGAAATTCTCATATACATCGGTTAATAATAATACATCGGTTTCTAAATATAAATCATGATATTCACCAAGGTTTTTAATGTTAAAGTGTTTCCATATTAGTTTTGCTCTTTCATAGTCAACATCGCTTATATCTTCTTCGCTTAATCTACTATAAAAATGTTTCTTTTCTGGTAGTTCAGTGTCATTAAATTTATTGAAGTCATTACAATAATCATAAGGATAAACTCCCTTTTCTGTCAGTAAAAATAAATCTTTTTCATTTTTAATGTATTTGCCTTTGACACTATATTTAAAATGTTCCTGCCAGTTGTCCCTTAATTTATTATCTTCATATTTTGTTAATTTAACAAGTTTATCTAATGATGATGACAAGAAACTGAAACTATCCTTAAATTCAAGTCTGTTTAATGAAAATGTAATAAACTTCTCACTGTTATGTGCTATTACTGATATTTGTTCTTTCTTTGTATTTAACTTTTCAAGATTAGAAATTATTAGGTGAGCATCATAGTTTTTAAGATTGTGAAAGAATACTGGTATATGATATTTTTTAAAACAATAGTCTATATTGCATTTCATATGTGCCGCTCCTCTGTATAATCCAGTAAAGTGGCAATGGTCGCGAACTTTACTTCTGGAAGAAGTAAAGGAAGCTTCGCGAGCCTCTGGCGAGGTGTCAGCAACTTTCTTTTTCGCTTCTACTCTGTTGTCAAAATTATCATTACATAAGAAACACTTTTTAGCTTCTAAATGTTTAATTTCATCTAAATCTGACATAATCATATCTTTTGGATTTTTCATTTGTTTCATTACATCGTCTCTAATATTGTTTAATGTATCACAAAATTTATCCATACAATCTTGGCCTCTATATAAAAATGGTTTCATTTCTCCACTATAAGCATTAACAAGGTTAAGCATATAACCGCTGGGTTTATGGTTCTGGTATGCTCCCTTTGGTTGCATAGGGTAAGTCCCTTTGATGCCTTCTGATGTTTCTGTTGTTAAACATTCAAAATCACCGTAAATAACAAATGGTGCTTTCAGTTTCTTAAAATGCTTTTCAAACTTCATTGTTGTTCCTTCTTCTGGCATTTTTGTTTGTTGAATGTCATTTGCCATACAACCTTTTATTAAGTGAGAATTTAAAAGTTTTTCTGACTTGAAACCGTGCTGACAAAAACTACAAAAAACATTTTATTAGTTGTTTTGTTTGTTTGTCTTCCTGCTAATCTACTAAAATCTTTTATTAAAACATAGTGTTCGCAAAGCTTGTGAGCCTCTGGTGAAGCATCGTTATTGTTTTGTTCAATTCGTAACAAATTAATATGACAAGATGGTCTTTCAATCTTCGTTATTCTGTCTGCTCTGATGGTTTGGTTCTCATCTTCAACATAAACATTAACTGATATAGATTTGTTATTGATTTCTTCAAAATGGTCTATGTCATCATTGGATGCTGGAAAATTTACACCGTCCCATTGAATTAGACTTTCAGTAGTTATTAATTTCTTGTAGTGTCTCATATGTTGTGGATGGTCTTTCTTGAAGACTTCATAAAATTTACATAAAACACAATATTTAAAACATAATTCATCATCATTTTGAATGTTGATACATGCTTTTTTCTTTGAAATCCATTCTGGTAGTTCCATATATCTTCCTGCTCTGTTCGGATTGTATTTGTCGTAGTGGATGGTGATTTTGTTAATCTTATTAATCTTCAATCCTGAATGTTTCAAAGGTGAGTTTTCAACTTGTAGTTCAATATCTTTAGGCATATTTTCCAATGCTTTTTTCAAGTCTCCTACATTCAAAATGTTGTATCTCCTACTCCTCATATCGTGTTTTATTTGTATATTTTCCTCAGTTGGTTCGTCTTCTCCATCATCATCATCTTGCTGGTTAACTTTATCAAACAGAACCTCAACATCAATCAGTAGTTTCATTGACTTTGCTTGTTGTAAAAACTCGGTTAGTTTCTTTTCTTGCCATAAAAGATATGTTAATCCTTTGTATCCCTTGAATGGTATGTTGGATATTGAATATGTGTTGGCGTACCCTTCCAATGCCGAAAATGTCTCTGATGTTTTTGCTCCTATTTTTAATCTGTATTTCTGGATTGTTTTAATTCCTCTCATTGTGTTTGATGCTTTTTTTAGAAGATGAAATCGTTTGAAACCTTGTGTGTTGCTGACTTGATTGAGTTTGTTTTGAAGTGATGAGGATAATGGTTTGTCTTTGTTGTAATAGTATTCTTTGTTGTTGATGATTAGTTTTTTCAATGGTTTGTTATTCTTCCCTGTTTTTATTTGACCTTCATTATTGGATAATAGATATTCAATTACTGAGCCCGTGCTGTATTCCCCTGCCATTTCTCTATACTATATAAGGTATTTTCTCTTTAAGTCTTTTTTGGGGGCGGGTTTGGGGGTGGGTCTGGGTTTGAGGTTGTAGGTGACCTTTCACGGATTTCTGTGAATGAATGTGTTTTTTTCACGGGTTTCTGTGAAATGATTTCACGGGTTTCCGTGAATGAATGTGTTTTTTTTCACGGGTTTCCGTGAATGGTCAAGATTGCTCTTTAAATCTTACATAAGGGCACAATTTGCACCTTTGATGTGTCCCCAGAAAGCTTAAAAATTGTCTGAAACCCGAACCTTGAAAATGATGAAATCTTAGACTGTTTCATAATGAAGAAATTGTAAAAAATGTTGAGAAATTTATCTAGATTTAAAGGTTTGAGGGCATAAGATAATAGAAGTAATGGAAGGCAATCTCCAACAGGAGATTAAACAATGCTCACGCTGTAAGAAGTCCAAAGATGTAAGCGAATTCATAGAAGGTAGGGCATCTTGTAATAAATGCTTGAACTATAAACAACAATATAGGGAAACACATAGAGAAAGGGAACGGCAACAATCTAAGGCATACTATGAAACAAACCGTGAAGAAATATTAGAAGTTAGAAAGCAATACCGAGAACAAAACAAAGACAAAATACAAGAACAGGGCAAACATTACAGAGAAAGAAAGAAGGAACAAATCAAACAAGCAAAGAAAGATTATTATGACAATAATAGAGATGTTATTTTAGAAAAACAAAGGGAAAGGTTTAAGGCAAAAATTGAATGTCCTGTTTGTAAAACTGAGTTTGTAGCACATCAGAAGTCAAGACACGAAGAAACAAATAAACATAAGAAGAACCTAAATAAAGAAAATGAAGCAATGCAATGAGCAGATTGTGAATATTAATATATTATAATATTTTCAATTATCATTTTTTATAACCTTATTCAATAGTTTGGTCATTACCCCTCACATTAACATTTTCCGCGAATTCTACTATTAACCTTAATGAGAAAACAGAACAGGAGCGAAGATAGGTTGAAATTCAATCTTGGAAAAATTCCCTGAAATTGAAAATTCCCCACCCTACAATCAATCTTATAATAATTTTTCCCCCCCCCCCCAAAAAACCTACGTAATAGACGTCGGGCGGGGGGGGGTTAGGGGGGGGTTATCCTCTATCCTCTAGTAAGTATCCGACACGCCGAGCAATGTCGGCGGACTTACACTGGATGACAATCCAAGACTACAGCGCGCCAAAGGAGAACAGAGATGGCCTGTTCTTCCTACAAGCAGAAGTCGCAACACTGCCAAGAGGAGCAAAGCTACAGATACACAGCACACAGCAAGGACAGATTGGCATGATAGCACCGACCACAACGTTTACACCACAAGGTCCTGCAGACACAGGTTATGCAGGAGACTACTGGCAGTTCAGCGCACAAGGTGAACTTGTCAGAGTACACAGACAATACAGGAAGACACTCTTCACACCATCAAGAACACAGTGTCCAGTCCCAGCAGAACAACTTAAGGACTACAGAAGAATCAGATCCAAGGATGGCGCAACGAACACGTTTGAGGACAAGTACCAAATAGCAGATGCTCCAATCAAAGCACAACAGCAAATGTGGAAAGGAGAAACAGCATCCAGGATCAAGAAAGGCGCAGCAACAACAGAGACACCGCAGCAAGAGTTTGCAACAAGACACAGCCAAAAAGCACGCCGCAGAAAGTTACACCGCAAGTAATTCAGCGCAATCCACGCACACGACTGAGAGAGAAACAACGGCGCAGGACACAGCAGCACCACACCACCAAAGGTGCAGCTGGACAACTACCGCATCCTGCAGAAGTACATCATGGAGGAGACTACTGGCACAGAGAAGGCCCATACTGGAAGAGAGTACACGTCAAGCCACACACACAGCATTTTACACACCAGAGCAGACACATGACGGGCCAGACATTAAGCGACTTACACCTTGCAAACAGACCAAGGTACAACCGGCAGGAGGACGCGCAACACAAGATTGGAGAAGATGAATGGACAACACAGCAAGCAAAGACATCGGACAAGCCTTGGACAGGATGGCTGGCTTTGTTATCATTGCTCGGGCACATGTTGTGCTGCAGCAACAAACCGGTTCAAAGGTGGCCTAAAGCGATCGCACCTGCTTCGCCATGCCGAAATCCAAGTGGTTTCCAAAGTTCAAGAAGGACATGGTTGCTCCAAACTGTGGGTACATATAGATTTATGTAGCCGCTTTGGGTCAATTTCAGGTGCTCTTGCAAAAAAGAGAGAACATCTCGGCAAGGAGCTTCCACGGGCGGATGGCAAGGTTTTTGTGATCACAGGCACCACTTCGGGCACAGGTTTCGTTGCGGCATGGGTCGTGGCAGAGCTGGGCGGAGAGGTCCTTCTGCTGAACCGACCGTCTCAGCGTGTGACCGACTCCATGGAGAGCCTAAAGGAGATCGTCCCAGATGGAAAGTTCAGCAACTGGTTGGCGGTTTCAGACGGGCTATGATACAGTGTGTTTCACCTTTAGTTCTACTTGCCACCCAATAGGATTTGAGAGTATTTTCTTCTTTTCTCTTAATTCTCTCATGTTATGTATTCAAATTTGGGGGAGGGGGATGGGCAACATCGCTGCCAGGCAACATCGCTTGCGACTTGCAGGATTTCGAGAGTGTCCGCAAAGCGGCCGCTGAGATCAAATCGCAGTACTCAAAGATCTACTGCCTCGCGAACAATGCAGGTATCATGGCAACGCCAGACAAAGCAACAAAGGTGGGGTTGACAAATCCAAGCTATGATGCCGGTAATGAAACGTGGCAATATGTGGCAAACGACAATCCATGTTTAGACGATTTTCTCTTTAAAACCTGATTTTAACTCTCTATTTAGATCTGGTTGGGAGCAACCCCGAAGGATGGCTATGACACCCAGATGCAGACCAACCACTTGTCTCATTTCCTGCTCACAGCAGAGCTTTTCCCATTGTTGGAGGCGGAGGCAGAGCAAACTGGAGACGCTCGGATTGTGAACCATTCCAGCCTTGGCCGCCTTCACACCGTGAACAAAGGCTTGGAGGAAAAGTACTTCGGGAAAAATGGTGGCAATTTGGGCGGGGATTCCATCAAGTTGATGGGTGGAGCTTGCTATCATCGCTACTTCCAGACCAAGTTGGCCAACTCGGTCTTCACTTATGCCCTGCATGAGAAGTTGAAGGTGCGCAACTCCAAGGTCCGCTCTCTTTGCGCACACCCCGGTGGATCGATGACGAACCTTGCCAATGGTTTGAAGCATGGCTGCTGCACGGACTGCTGCCTTAGCTGTCTCTTGGCTCACTTTGCGGTTCTGGTTTAATGGGGGATGTCCGTGAGAACAACAACAAAAATGGGCACATGGGGCGCGTTAGCCACCAATGGATCATTTGACGGATAATGGGCGATGCTCCATTAAACTTGATTCTCCATAAATCTTGAAGAACCTTTCAGACAAGCGCAATGCGAAGAAAGCAACACATCTCAGAGATCTTTGACAACCGGAAATCATCTGTGACAACCGGTTCACATGGACCGAGGTCTCATGCCGAGCTTACTCCAATCACCCGAAGATGGGAGCATGGGGCTCGTCAAGTGTATGGTGGCTACAGATGCTCAGAGTGGCGTGCTCTACGGCCCCAAGAATTCTGGTGCAACAGGTCCCGCTGTGCCGAATCCACCCAAACCCTGTGAGACCGACCCCAGAGCGATCGAAATGCTGTGGAGGACCAGTGAAGAAGCCACAGGTGTCAAGTTTGAGGTATGAGCGGGATAGAATACACTTTCCCCAAATTCGCCATGTCAAAGGCTCACCGGCGGACATCGAAGTTTGCAATTGATCCGAGACGAGAAAGTCCTGGGCCCCTTGCAAGTAAGAAAGTGCCAGTTTTTTTGTCTTCAAAGATTCGCGAAAGCAAAACCCGCACCGCGAAAGTGCTGGGAAGGCGATCGCGAAAGTGAGACAGCTATTTGATCTTTTTTGACGTGGATCAATTTGCAGTCTGTCGCTTCCCTTGCAGCATGCCCCGCTGATGTATTTTCTCGCTTAATGTACTGAGCAAAGAGTCCGAGAAATCTGCGAGTCAGACGGAAAAGAGTACCAATCAATAGTAACAACACCACAATTTGTTTTTCTGGCATCATGGATTAGGACTTTCCCTGTCATCAGAGTCAACACAGCCAAGGCCGGACTTTCGGCATGACAGGTGTGCATCAACGTGTATAACAATGAACAAATACAGGCTGGTAGAGGTTCGGGTTCCATACTATGCCGCTTTTGCATTCTGAAGTGATAGTTCTTGTATATCTACAATACATGGTGTATGTTTATAGAGTTTACATCTACACCCGCACTTGTGGATTGTTTGGCGCAGATTCAGCGCCACTGATCTAGAGTTGACAAACTTTACCATGCTCTTAATCTTTCTTCGCTTGAAGCATACAGCTCGTATTGTTTGAATAGTTTGGCCTTACCACTTGGTGCCCTCATTGCTGTTTCTTGAAGAACCTTTTTACTATGCATCCCGCAACGCCTCCTGCATCTTCTGGAGGTCCTAGTCTCCACAATATGGTTGTTTGCGTATTGCATCCCAAGCATTACATAGCATTATGGTTACTTCTAAATCGCGTCTCACATTTCGTACAGAGGCGGGTTGCCCGAATCGCCTGGTCCAAACGCAAGGTAGCAAACTCCTGTGAAGAGTGAGCTGGCATTTGGCTCCAGATTGAAGTGCTAGCAGACTTGAACACAAGTCTACAGTTTGAGGCTGAGATTTCCATGTTTCGTGAAGGAAGTGAAGGCCGAGCGCACGACGGTGGCAGATCGAAATGGGCAGACCATGCCAGTGACTCCTGTCTCTCTTTTTTGTGTTTTGTTTTCCTCGTGTCGCGATGCGATGCCCGAGCCTGGCTCTCGGCTGGCCGTGGCTTCGGGCCTGCGCATCGGTGGCACCGCGCGCAAGGCGCGGGGACATTGGGCGACGCAAGGGGGGGGCGGCTGAACTCTGCAGGTAGAGCTCGGGTTGCTGCGAAGTTTCCTCCTGGGCGAGCTGACGGAGGACTTCCCGCACCGCTTTTTCCCATCGGAAAGCAAACACACTGCCAGGAGGTACCGGTTGACCGGCTCATCGTGGCAGGAGGTGCGGACGGTTTGGCAAAGTGTGCCGACCTGGCACGCCGCGGTTTTGAGCAGGTGTGCATGCGGACAAACATGCAGAGATGGAATGCCGTTGGCACCTCAGGGCTGCAACACATGAGCTCCACACGAGCTCGGTTCTGCACGGGAACTCCCATGTTCCCCCAGGAAGCTTCATTTGTATGAGTTGGCCATCGTGCATCTCGCAGCTTTTGCCCTAGCAGAGCAAGACATGCAGATTGCTCCAGACCAACTGAACTGAGTTGAAGAGGCTCCAAGCGTAGCCTGCAACATTTCGGCATTCCCGCAATATATTTCACTTCTCGATTTTATGTCTCTATCCAGCACCGCGAGCACTATCGCTTGAAGTTACAGATAATCTAAGACAGCTGATACTGAATGTTGCAATGACGGAGTTCAAGAACGAGCTCAACCAGTTTTTGCAAAAGCCGCTCACTTGCACTTGCAACCGGGACACGTGATTTCTTGACACGTTTGCATGTTTGGATGATTCAGTGCCGTGCTTATGTAAGGCACTGCAAAAGACCACTTGCAAAGAATGACATTGTGTACACTACCAGTCACTTGGTGCAATCGAAAACAAATGCCAAACACGCGCAGTTTGTATTTCGTCACGCACCTGACTTGCGCAGGCAAGTATGGGATGCAATTCCAGGCGGGAAGGGACTGATCCGCTCCGAATGCAAGCGGGGATTCCGCCAGGCCATCGTGAAGCTCAATTGCCTGACGGGCCAGGAATACGCGGGACACCTTTGCAACGACCTCAAGGCGTCGGGTTTTGCTTCCGCAAAGGTCCGACCTCTTTTTACCTCCGCTCGGAGTGAAACCCTGGGAGCCCCTCTCGCAGGCCGCGGAGAAGTCTGCGGCCCAGCAAGCCCTTCAGGCGAACGCCGAGCTGGTGGAGGCGGGGTCAAGGCAGGGGCAGCTCCGCCCGGAGTGATTCATGGCATGAAGTTACGAGGCAGATCACCAGGGTTCGCTATCCCGATTCAGATTGACAGCAGTCAGCGTGTTTGCATTTGCACGAAGGCTCATGGTGCCATACTTCGTTTGAGTATGTTCGGGCCAGTTTTCACGTTTGCTTCCGCAGGCCACGAAGAACGCGCCGACTGAGAAGAAGCGGCTGGCTGCTCCAAAAACGCTGACGCCAGAGGCCCTGAGAGCGGCAAGTCCGAGTTCTGTTTGTCTCATTCTCTCTTGGGCCTCTCTTGGGCCTCTCTTGGGTCTTTCGGGCACTTTGCAACTGTTGTTTTTGGCAGTGTGTCCAAATCGCCAGGAGCGTGCCGCGAAGAAGGCAAGGCAAGAGTCAGGCGATAACCCGGCGATCACACCCAAAACGGAGCTGAACAGCCTATGCATGAGCTCCGGTGGCAGTTGCGCTCTGTTTGTAAACAATCATAGACAGGCGATGTGAAAAGTTGGAACAGACTATGAATTCTAGATAGATTTGAAAGTGTTCATGGATTCCAAGCTGAGGAGAATTGTTGGGCGCTTCCTGAAGAAGGGCGAGACGGTGCGCCTGCCAGTGTGGTGGATCCATACTGAGATCTGGAACGGATATTCAGAATGAGCTGCAAAGGAAATGACATGGCGCACAGTTGCCAGAAGCGAAGCCTGTTGCGCAAACGTTGGGGGACGAACATCCGTGGCTCTCGCAGGTCTACATGTGCAACAAGATCGGCTCCCAATACCAAGCCACGGCGGGCTTCCAAGCTTCGTATTGCCCGAGTCTTTTCCGGCGTGTTGTATTTGCTTTTTCTGGGCCCGAATCCAAGCGCAGTTGCTGAGTTCAGTTCTGCCTGGCGAGCAGATCCCACGCGAAGCCGTTGGACGCAGGTTCAGATCACCAGCCTGCCAGACGAGTGGGGCCAGCGGGCCTGGGCTGGGCATCTGTGCGCCAACAAGCAGAAGGCGCGTTAGGGCCGGACATCGCATTGGACACGCGCTGCCCTCGTCAGGCTGAGCAAAGTGCGGCCGAGATTGCGCTGAAAGACGTGAAGGGCACACGCCTTGATGGCGTAATAGGTGTTGATGTGTGCGTGCATTTCAAGCACTCTTGTTTCATGGCTTCCTTCTGATACCGGGCAACTGGTCACGGATACCGGTCTGGTGTGACGCATTCCCTTTAGTCGTTCGCTTTGATGGATTTCGGCAACTAAGAAGACCCGCAGCTGCAAGAGCTCGCGTCCCAGTCCAAGGGCGCCGGCCTGAAACTGAGTGAGCGGAATGAGCGGAATGAGCGGAATGAGCGGAATGAGCGGAATGAGAATGCATAAGACTAGGCTGTGCACAGTGCTTCGCTTCGATGACTGGCCGAACACGTGTCTCCGTGCGCAGGCAAGGGCAAGGGCAAGTGGAGTGCGGCGGCCATGTGGGAGATGATGAGCCCCGCGTCCGCGTTTCTGCGTTGCAGTGCAACGTCTCCGCGCAGCGTGGCTCTGGCCCAGGCAACTGGTGGTCCTGGAGCAACCAGCGTGAGAGGATCTCGGAGGATGACATGATCGGAGAGGTCCTCGAGTGGAAAGGAGCACGGGAGCACGCACAAAGCTCGAGAATTGTTGAGGTTGACATTTTCCGTGACTTGGTGTGTGCGCGGGTGTGTGTGTCTGTGTGTGTGTGTGTTGGTGTTTGCTTGCTTTTCCGTGGCTTGCTTGCTGGAATCGGAGCTCAGGACATTACGGCTGGCTGAAGACTGACACCGAGATCGAGCACGAGGCCAAGGCCATGCGCGGGGGAAAGATCTACGTGAACCGGAGCCCTGGAAATCAAGCTGTGGGAGGGAGCCAGGGAGCAACTTTGCTCTGCTTTTGCTCTGCTTTTAAGCAATGACCGGTTGCTGACCGGTTTTTGCGATGACGTGTTTGAGGCGTACTTGCGCCTTGCGCTGAGGAAAGACATAGAGGGTGGCCCAGAAACCGTCGCTGAAGGACAGAAAGTCAAGGGCCCAAGTTTTCGCGGTTGCCTTGTTTGTGGCGCACGTTGCTTCAAGCCGAGGTGAAATTCAAGCTGTACGTCGATGGGAACGGACTGGGCGCTGAGGAGGCATCCTTGGTTTGACCGATGGTCAATCCTGGTAGGACTTTGGTCAGGGTTGAGAAAAGCCAGGATGAACCGACCCGAGGCATGACTGTTGAATCACAGCTTCCATTTCTGGGATGCTGGATCCACCTCACACTCGCCTCGTGCCGATAGCTTGACCAAACTGACGTGTCACCGCTGTGCATAGCGTGGATGTGCTCCACTGGTGCTATAAGATTGAAAGACTCCACTCGCAGCTCGCTTATTTGGGAAAAGCCTCCGGCGCTTGCACTGCCAGGCATGTGATACCGGCTGCGTTGAGTCTGCAAATGCTGCAGAACCGAGCAGCACTCGAGGCGAAGGTCGCCTAAAGAGAAGCTGGCTTGCTGGCGGTGGGGTGCCCTGGCTTGTTTGGCTTTGAAGCGCCGAAAGCTTATGGTTTGCCTCGCTTGCCTGGTGTTTGCTCCAGCCCCAACTCAATGGCATTTGGCAGTGTGGCAGCAGTGCAGCTTTTGGTAGCTTTCCCTTTCAATCCTTCGAGCCTTTCGGCAGGTGCAGCGACCAGTCGCTGCCGCCGCGGAAGAGGCAGACCTCTTCCTGGCACCGCTCAGCTGCCGCATGCGGCGCCAGCCTGAGACGGTCCAACGGTCCCCGATGCCATCTGCCAACATCTGCCAACATCTGTTGCAACACGAGTCATTCGTCATTCACGAGGCTATGCCTTCAAAGTGGCGAAGGCCTTCGAGGCGTTTCTTCGAAACGGCGTTCGGGGGGCCGGAGGTGATTGCGGGGTGTCCGCGATGCTGCCGCAGCCCGCCATGCCCCGAGCCATCTTCCCCCGCTGCAGGCGACTCGACAAAGTTTACTACCAGCTCAATTCTTTCACTCGCCTCAAGGTGCAATTTGGAGCTCTGGTCGAACCCTGCCAGCCAAGTCATCTCGAAGGTGCAGGCCGCGGTCCTGAAGTGGAAAGAGAAAACGCGCTCGCTCGGTCACAGTGTTCACAGGTGGTGGGCCACGCTGGTCAGCCCCTCGCCCTTGCCCTCCGCGAAGCCGCGCGTCTTGAGCTCAGAGAGGCCAAAGAAGCAGAGAGAGAGAGACACAGAGAGCCAAGAGAGAGAGAGAGAGAGCGAGAGAGCGAGACACAGAGCAAGGCGGTGCGAAACCTCGGTCCGCTGCAGAGATACAGCTGCAATGCTGGCGAGAGGCTCAGGATGCACGTGCCTTCTTTCCAGTGCCGAATGCACATTGCGACCCGAGCTCTGGAATTTGAAGAGCATTGGACTGGAGGCGCGAGCAGTACCTGGCACCTGTGTGGCCAGACTTGCTGGCGCCCAAGGCCTGACCATCGAGGGAGCGGAGAGTGGAGAGCGGAGAGCGAAGCGCGAGAGGCAAGATGCGGATCGAGCGCAAGGCTGGACCATGAGGCACCAGAGCAATGGCCTTGCCTGGGCATGCATGGAAGTCCGCAAAGTCGCTGAGTCACAGGCCGGATCCGTTCAGCATCGAGCTGAGTAGAGAGGCCAGCTTCTCGGGGAAAAGGAGCGGCACAGAGCGGTGAGCGGAGGCAAGCAAAGTCTTGCTCTTCGCCGGCAACTGCAAAGCTCCTCAATGGGCGCGCTGCATGGCATACATCGCATGGTACGCGTGGAATGCTAAGCTGCTAGCACTGCTGGTACAAGTCGCTGGCAAGGAGTTCCTTCCAGCGAGTTCAGAGAGCACAAGGAAACGGCACGAAGAGAAGGACTGGGGGGTGGTTGCTTGGTCAGCGGTTGATCCCAACATTCATAATGAATCTGTGGCGGAAATGGCCTCCACATAGGAAGCACTTGCACTCCGCGACACGGTCGCCTAGGAAACCTATCCCAATTCAGACCGACAGGATGTCCTGGCGATTTGCGTCCCCGACTTTACTGAAGATCCCAGCATTCTGCTCATCAACGAGGATCTGTCCGTTCAGCTCATCAAGTTCCGTTTGGACTAGAGCGACTAGAGCGACTAGAGCGACAAGAGCGACTGGAGCTCGGAGCCACGAGGGCCTGGGCGCGAGGCCGAAGCGGAAGCCCTGAAGGTCAAGGGCTTTCCGGAGATAGGGCGGATGGGAGGATAGGCGCGGATGGGCGCAGATGGGCGCGGATGGGCAAAACAAGCTCGGTGGATGGGAAGGGACCGTGTGACAGTTGGTCGGGTTTGAATCTTTGCGCAGGCAGCTCGCGCGTGACAGGTGAATTTGGGCTCAAGCCGCCGTTTGTGTGGCAGGGAGGGATGACTAAGGGTTGAGGCTATTGCGCCAACCTTAAGTGCAGTCTGCACCTTGTTCCGTCAGTCAGAGATGCCAGATGAATCTTGGGAAGATGCTTGCTGTTTGAGGCGTGGGGTGTTCAACCCCGGACTTTGGTGCTAGGGCCGGAGAAACATGTCGTGGCTTGGCTGGAAGTGGGCATGGACAAGCTTCCTGCTTCGCACCTGCCGCAAGGTCCTATGGAGAGCTGATCCAAGCCCTTCGGGTGCTGAAGAACGTGAAGGCTCGTGGATTTCGTTTTCGGATCGCCATTTGTCAAAATTGGGCAGGAGAAGCGCCACGGGATCAAGACCTTGGCGAGCCTTTGCGCCAACCGAGCCTTCCAGGCGGGCTTCGGGAGGCCGTTCTCGTTGAGAAGCTGCTGCTTCGGCTGCTTCTGTCAGGTTCGTATTGTACAACGAGGAGGATGGCGAACTGCGATCCTCCCGCTGATCATTTCGCTGGACGAGGCACGGCGGGTGAGCCCGGTGCCCCGGTCCCGGATGTGGCCAGGACTGCCGGATGTATGCGGCACTGGCGGTGGCAAACTTGAGCACGTCGGCCGCCACGCACCCGCAGCTGCTGGAGGAGGAAGTGCTGAGGCCCGCAAGGAAATCTGATGTGTAGGGACCCCCTAGCTTCCACACATCCTACTTCCTGATGGGCTTGGAAGGCACACCGTGGCATATTGGGGGAATATTTTGAGTGTCTGAGACCGGGTATGAGGGAGACCAACGTGCAAGGTCTCGAGAGACCAGGTGTGGGGGGAGCTTTGGAGCTCATCAATGTTTCGGTTTGCCTTGCTCCAGGCATTTGGTTCCCATTCTTCAAAGCGAAGAAGTGCAGGAGGCACGCGGAGCAAGGCGTCAAAGACGATTCTGTTGCCTGACACGAGTGCTCCCCCGAAGAGGCCTCAAATGGAAGAACTCTATGTTTTCACTGATTGAATTGCGAGAAGTAGGCCATCGATGTAGTCACCCCTCGATAAGCTGACCTTCATTTGGCTTGTCACAACGCACTTGACCGCCACACCAATCGAATCCCATCGGTGGCTTTTGACTTGCCCTGGCTTCAATTTTCCGAGCAAATCTCTTTGTGACCAAATGCGTGCCATGTATCAGTAATTTGCCGAGGTCATCGCCTACGTGCTGAACGCATTGGGAAATTTTGCCTGCAGCTTTGCCCAGATTAGTTCAATTACGCTGAGTGACAGGTTCACGGTTGACTAGAGGCTAGTGCTTTGCCTGAGAATAAGCAAAGCCCAGAGCCAGGTAGCAATATCATGTGGCATGAGCTCCAGCAAATGAATGCCGCGGATGGCATCCTCACAATTCTGAAGCAAACTCAAAGAGAGGAGATCAGGACTGATATCTGCGGCCTGCGAGAGTTGTTCGTCTTTCGTACGCTCTGAGATTCACTTGCCATCGGTGGCCCAGCTGTTCGCAGCTTGCCCCGTGCACGTTCTCTTGGGGCTCAGCCAGCATGTCCGATGCTCGCAAGGATCAATTGCCTCTTTTGCCTCGCGAATCTCACTGCCGATCCATGGCACCGGAGGTGGATGATGGGCAAGGAGGCCTGGCGCGTCTTCTCTTCTCTGATCTCTGCTTGCCCCGAGCGCGTTTGATCTCGTCAGGTCTACGAGATCATTTGGGGGTACATGCAGGAGTGCCTTTTGAATCGAAGCCTTGGAACTTAGGGAAGAGCTGCGCAGGACCCGAGCTATACCATTATGTCCTACTCTCTGGCCATTCTCCGCGGATTGGCCGTTGAGACAGAGGCCCAGGAGCTGTTTCCATCCATGGGCCGCCGACTCAGCTGGGTCGAGGTCTTTCGGGTCTTGGCAGCTGAACATGCACCGAAGCAATGCTAGGTTTGGTGCCTCTGCTTATCGGCATCTATCACAGTTCTGACCTCAGACCATCTGAGACCCCGAGAACTCAGTCAGACATAGCCAGCCGGCCCGGCCCCCGGCCATCGATTCCATCTTAGGCCAGTGCCCGCAGTCGCTCAAAACTCTCTCTATGGACTTGCTCCTGCATTTCTCCATGTTCAAGCAGAATGCAGGCCGAGACATCGCACTCATCACACCGCGTTCCTTTCAGAATTTCACCTTTTCGGACCGAAGGAACAAGTTCACTCACTGCAGTCCTCATGGCACTCGAGTGGCCAGGCCTGATGATGGAGAAGGAGGTGGCTCAAGTCATCCAGCTTGCGGGAAGGGGCACGGGCCACGTAGAATACGTGGGCGGCTCAGTTGGGAAAACCACCATCGGCATCGTGTTTCTTATTTGAGATTTGAGATATCTTTTTTTGCCAAGACGTGATATCCACAAAGAATCTTCCCGTACTTGTGACGCACACAGGCTGGCTTGAAGTCATAAACTGATGGAACTGCCAGAGGCTCCGAAAGTGCTGATACCTTTTCTGGTGAACGGATGAAGTAGATCATGCAGGAAGCCAGCGACCATCGCGCGCTTGCTTTCTATATAGGTTTGTGGATGTGGTTTGATTGAAGCTACCAGTATTGTCGCCTGCCCGCCATTGCCCATTGTCTTCACTCCACCATCCTCAAGGTGTTCAGGACACAAAAGGAGTTCAAACAATCCCTGCTTGCTGCTTCCGCCCCAATCGCATCTTGAGCGTTTTCACTGGGCACACACCCAGATTCCGATTGGCATTGCCATCATTGCCAACATCTGCGAGAGCGTGGACTTGCATGACCGAATAGCTGCTTCGGCTGCACGTGAGGGCTGCGTATGTCATGGGACCTGAAACTCGCGCTCGCTGTGCTTGAGGTCGAGTCACCTTTGTTCGAAGTTCTCACAGAACACATTCACAACGACAACACCAATGCGGGAAGCCTAGTTTTTGCAGCTCCTTTTGCACTCATACATGGGGGTTGACCTGCAAGCATTTTGAGTGAATCGAGTGAATTGAGGTGCAGACGTGTCTCGGCTGGAGTGATTCATACCTCGTACCCAGACATCACACTCTTGATTTGGGGCATGTCATCCGGGCTGAGGCATGTCATCCGCGCTCTGATGCAGCTGAGCCTGTCACCGAAGTATCACCATGTGATTCTTACAACTGGAGTGACCTGGCATATCTCGCTCTTCTGTCTTCAACGTCATGTAGAAGCTAAGACAATGGTGCTGAGGCGATGGCAAATGTGTGCCCCATCGCTATGACGGAGAGATTGAGCATCGCGATGTCCCAACCTCAGCTGTGCAGCCAGCCTGAAGACTGCAAAGCCACGAAGCTTCAGTGAGCGTTTCCCTTTTGAGGCGCACCAACGGCTTGCAGATGATGGCTGCCGCTTCTTGGCCGATGCGCAGAAGGGCCTTTGCCTCTTGGTTCGGCCCGAGGTGTGCGCCACGCACCCTACGACCCCCACGGCCCCGCGCTCGAAGTCAGCATGAAGAGACCCGACCCAGCGGACTGTGATCCAAGAGCTTGGGGCCGTGCCGTTTTTGTGATGCGCTTGTATGTTAGGCGAGTGACATCATCGACCTCATGTTTTTGCCCGGCGCTTTGCAGCTACTTTCAGTTGAGCAGAACCAAACATAAACGAAAGTCGGCGGACTGAAGGATTTGCAACTCCATGGAGAACATCGACATCCGCCGAGCGGCGGCGCTTGTGATTGCCAACGCCTCCTCGGACCTGGGGAACCTTGCGGCAGCCTCAACTTCCGAGTGATGGTCCCCTGAAAAGCCCTTGCAATCATAGGTGTCTTTTTAGTTTAGTTTGATTAAACATAGATAGCACTGGTTCAGGTGGGGTTTCTTCCATTTACCAGGGCCATCTATTTTTCCATCAGGCCACCTATGCTTGCAATTGGTTAGTCTCATGTTGGCTTCCCACACACAAAACAAGTGCGGCCTCGCTTGAGTCTCGGTCATCCAGTTGCGAGCTTTGGTGGGCACCCGACGTCGCAGCCGGGCTCGGGGCAGCCGGCCTTTCTCCGCCCTGCCGAATCGGCGTGAGCCGCCGCCTGAGTTGGGAAGCAAGCCGCGCATCCGGCACGACCCAAACGACCCCAACGACCCCAACGACCCGAAATCTTGTGGACTGGTCACTTTCCCCCTTGAGAAACCTGGCTCCCTCCCGGCTGAATGCGGCTCGTTGTGCAAAAAACCGGGTGGGACTGGGCCGGATGCTCTCGCGTGATCGCCTCCCTCAGGCATGGAGGATATTGCAGAGCTGGAGATACCTGCCTGCGAGCTCATCAACGAGCGCTGCATTGGCACCGGCGTGACCTCGGAAGTTTATAAGGGCTATTGGACGAGGATCAACACGGCCAGGGCTGGCGAAAGTGTCAAGCTGAGGGACCAGGTGAATAAGAAATGACCTGGTTCAAGAAGACCCGGAATCCTTCATCTACCCTTTCAACCGGTGCAAACAGGACCCTGTTGTGAGACTGGGCAGTCTTTCAGAGTTCCTTGCAAGAAGCTGCTTTCCATTGACAGCTGAGGGAGGTGCAAGAACAGGCCCTCGGATTTGCCCAGGCTGGTGCCATGTCAACCAAGGAGTCCAGAAGTTCTGGGGGAACAACTTCCAGCCCCCCCTCCGACTCCCTTTCCCTCCCTTTCGCTGCTTGCTTCTTTGATTCGAGGTGGTGGCCATAAAGCAGATCACGGAGCGCACGGCTATCCGAGAAGATGAGCAGTTGGCCTTTGCCAGGGAGATGAAGGTCCTGACCAAGGTGCAGCACGAGAACCTGGTGAGGCTTTACGGTGTCTGTGGCTCGGTGCGAATGTATAGCTCAGCGCCCTGTTTAATTTCTCCCCATCCTTCCTTCTCACCGTCTTTTGGTTTGGTCTTCACCCCGTCTTTATGTGGGGCAAAGCGAAACGCGACAGGCATGGACTCGCCATTGCGGATCGTCACGGAGTTCTGTGAGGGAGGGGCCTGCTTCGAGCTGCTGCACAATGCGGAAGACGTTGACCTGATCTTCCCCCAGCAGATCAAGATGTGCAACTCCACTTACGAGAGGAACTGGCAAACTTGCTCCATGTTTGGTTGAGGGCGGGTCGTCTCGGGGGCTGGGGTGCGTTTATCAGATTCCTGGGGGCGTTCTTGCAGCACAGCTATTTACATTTACAGTCTGTTGATTGTGTGGCATGCAAGTGTAGTTTATTCCAATGGAAACTCGAGTTGAACTATGTTCCCATAATGTGTGTTTACATGTCAGCTGAGTTGTAAGTATTTTCGATTGGAAAGAACATACTATGTAAATTATCAATTCAAACAGAATTATTCTAATTCAAAATTATGTTATGAGACATAAGCTGTGATTGGATACATTCCTTATCAAATTGTGCATAAACTCTATGTTATTGTAATGTTCTAATGGGCAAGGATTTACATCTAAATTCTAACAAGATGCTGTCCAGTAGGATTCTGATCAGGTGTTTCCTTATTGAGTCCTATTTAATTCCTGTTCAAATTCAAGCTGAATTTTGGAGAGCGGCCGTTGGTGGAGATGTGAACTGAGTGCGAAAACACGCTACAAAACACTGAGTTTTACAGCACACGCTACAATACACGGTGTTTTACAGTGTTTTCTGACCATGGTAGTGCTGGGGCTAGTGAACCAAAGTCACACGATTTTAGGATCTCTGAACTATTTCCTTCTGAAATCTACTCAACATCTTGACCAAGTTCTATCCCATGTCTATCTGAAATGAACTGGAACTTTTTAAGGACAGGCTCCAATCAAATTGAATATTTCAGCTTAGATTTGAAATTATGAATATTATATTTCAACATACATGTTACATGGAAATTCCTTTCCAATAGAACTGTCCTTACAAATCAGTAAACATCTAAACAACATTTTTCAAGCATTCTCTTTGGGTCGACTGAACCCATCTCAATCAAAGCTAGAGAATCTGTTCGATGTCTACGGCTGGCTTGAATGCAGAGCTGGCTACGAAAGTCACAGAGCTGAAGGCATTCTGTTGCAGACGAGGATGCTGAGAAAAATACAAGAAACCTCGAGTTTTGCAAACAAACAAACAAACAAACAAACAAACAAACAAAATTGCAGGCCCTATGTCCCCAAGCTTGGACTGCCCAGCCATAGGGCCTGCATTTTTTAAAAAGCAATTTCTGTCGTTTTTTGATCAACGCAGCCCAGGAATCTGAAAAAGAAAGCAGTTCACGGGGCGTCCCTTCTGTTTTGGTTTGGGGCGAGCATGTGGGCCCACTTCACATCCTATACGGAAGGCACTTTTTTAAAGTCATGTGTAGTTCCTTTGAACCTGTACATGGACGCTTGGCTGATTCCACAACGCAGGAAACGGTGATGACCTGGGGGGAAGTGGGAAGTTCAAGCCAAAAGGCCAAGAAGCCAAGAGGCCAAGCGGCCAAGCGGCCAAGAGGCCAAGCTGTGATCTGAGGCAAGGACGTGGCGGCTGCAATGTGCTACCTGCACACCTTCGAGCCCATGATCATCCACCGAGACCTGAAGAGCCTGAACCTGCTACTGGACAAGCCGGTGCTGGGCCCGCAGGCTCCGGCTGGATGTCCAAACGCAAAAAAAGCAAAAACAAGCCAGCAAACAAGCAAACAAAGCAAGCAAACAAAGCAAGCAAAGGCAAGCAAAAAGCAATGTGCTCTGCTGCACACGGCAGAGATGCCGCGCGGCTGGGCCCAGGATCTGCCCTTGGTGAAGGTCTGCGACTTCGGTGTGGCCAAGCTGCAGGCGCCAGAGGGCCAGTGGGGCCAGATGACGGCGCAGGCGGGCACCAAGCACTGGATGGCCCCGGAGATGTGGACCTCCTCGAGGTACGACGAGAAGGTGGACGTCTTCTCCTACGCCATGGTGCTGTGGCTAGTTGTAGCTGTGGCTAGTTGTGGCGAGTTGTGGCGAGTTGTGGCGAGTTGTGGCTAAGGGAGGCTTTTGTGATTGGGGAAGGCCAGTGTGAGGGATGTGGGCTGAAGAGAGAAATGCTGGGTTTTGGCTGAAGCATTGTCACGCACGTCCTCTGGCCCGCCCTCCCCAAAAGGACCACAGCCACTTCAATATGTAACATAAAGCATGTCGCCGTGGAAGCGAAACCGGAGCAGTACGCGAGGTGATCTACGAGATCATCTGCCGCGAGGTGCCCTTCGAGGAGGAGGAGCCGGCGGACGTGGGGAAGTACACCTTGGCCGGGGTGCGCCCGGACATGGACGCGGTGCCCCCGGACACCCCGCCGGAAATCGTGCCCCGAGCTCCAGAAGAAAGAAGAACAACAAAAACAAGAAGAAACAAAGATGTGGATACAGGTAAGGTCTGCGTTTCACGAAGTGACACAACAAACAGGATTCCAATCAAGCACCATCCCCCCATTTCCCCTCTTGCCGAGTTGAAATTTGAGCTGGGGACGGAAAGAAGAGTTCCGGATTCTCCCAAGAGAGCAACACCTCTCAAGGATTACTTTTTTCCAATTCGATTCGTTCCGAGGTGAGCGTGATGCAGACCTGCTGGGCCCAGGACCCCAGGGACCGGCCCGGCTTCCCCGAGGTGATGCGCATGCTGGCGACGCTGTGAGCGCTGTGAGCGCTGTGACGCTGTCGCTTCGAATGAAGCGGCCAATCGATCGGATCGGCCCCAACCGGCGATGCCCGGGACGGGTTGGGCGCATGGGAGATTATGGGGTCCCAGCCCACCTTAACTCGGAACGTGAACCCTACGCATGCGCAGATCTGGGGTTTTGGGGTGGGCCAAACCCAAACCCTAAAGACCCTACGCACCCGATAAGCTTAAACCCTAAGCCCAACAGGTCCTGGGCGGAACGCATGGGGGTCAAAGGAAGTCAATAGACATATCGTGTCAATGGGAAAACACAATGGAACAAGAAAACAAGAAACCACAAGGGGAAAACGTGGGCGGTGCGTGACGCCGGCGCATCGAGCTGGGATTGGCCATAGGACAGGCGGGCCACTTCAGGTGACACCACTGGGCCTTGACCCAACGGCCTGGCCCAGGGTGACGTGCCGGCCCTCGGCCTCTCAGCCCATGTGGATCATGTCGAGATTCCACCGTGTTTCATGTCTTTCATGTCTTTCATGAAGTGGCCCGCAAGTTTTAAGATGAACAATCCGCGCGATGCAGCCTGCTTCCCGCTTGAGCATCGCTTTAGGCCCGGGCAGAGCTCGAGCCGAAACGGCCTCGTCCCTCGAGCTAGGCTTGCTTCAAAAGCAAGCCTAGCAGCTAGCGTTAGAAAGTGCTTGGACACGAGCAAAGTTGTTGCACCGGATGAGCCCATGGGTGGCAACATGTGGCAACGCTGAGGCCAATCTTGCGCACAAGCCGTACCTGGAGGCTTTGAGCATTGCGCCTTGTCACGTCATCACTTTGCTGATTTTATTTCGGACTTTGTGGCCTTGTGGGAACAAGGAATATGCTCTGCTGAGGCGGTCTCCAAATCTCAGGACTCCGTGTTGGTGGACTACTTGATGCAGTTCTTTCACAACATCGCCTCTCGTTTGTATGGCATTTCTGTCCACTCGCAGAAAGCATGGCACGGCAAGAGCCGAGGTGAAGCTTGATGGAAAGTCCGGAAGCGGCTTAGATGCAATCAGAGCCGACGGTTGAGATGTGTTGGCTGAATTTCAAGGTATGCTGATGGCGTGCGGCTTTCAGCGGCATATCTTCAACTATGCACCAGCCTCAGTCTCTGCATCTGGCACACATGCTGTGTTTCCACGTCAGGAACGGCTGGAATCCTTGTCGATCGTGTCGGCCATCTACCTCTGTGACCTTTGCCGCCAAGTGGCCAACACGGACGCGGTGGTCCGCGCCACCCTATTGGAGGAGAGCACTTTGAGTTTTGCAGGAAAAGCCTGGGCTAAGCATGTGGGATGCAGGGAAGGGAGTGCTTCGATTGTGGCAGGAGATGATTTTCTCTGTGCTCACCGATGCCTGGGTGGTATATTTGGAGACCTGGGCCGCAGTTCGGCTGTCTGGCCCGACATGGCCCGACTTCCCAAAGACGCCAGGAGTGTTTGCGAAAAGAAACGGAAGGCACGGAGTCGCACGGAGTCGCACGGAGTCGCACGGAGTGCAAATGAGGAAGATCCCCGGCTGGCGCCCCATCTGGCGCTGATGTGCTCGGCTTTCTGCTACCACGGAGATGCCCACCAGGAGTTTGTGCTTCAAGGACCGCCAAGAATTCCTCGGGCAAAGCACGTTTGGGACAACTCTCGGCCTTTGGGAGGCTTTGGGTCTTTGAAGATCACCTGTCGGAACAGGGCCAAAGGCTTCTTTTGTTGCGACATTCTTTAGAGTTTAGAGGGGTCAGGAAAGGAAAGCCAGGAGGGGTGCGCTTGGTGATCCAAATGTACAGCAAGTCCAAGGCGGGATGGGCCGATATGGGCCGATATTTTATCCTACACCTCGGCTTGTGAAGTGTTCCTGAAGCTGGCAACGATTGGAGCTCCGAATTCACAGGTGGAGCACGTGCGGCTCTGTTGCCTGCTCTGCCTGCTGTACCTGGCCGAGTCTGGCTCCTCCCAAAGGAGCATTGCACAAGAGAAGGCGAAAAAAGGAAAACCAAACCTCGTTCGGGTGTTGGCGAAGTGACATCGGTGAAATCCGTGAAGTGATGTATCGAATCGCGCAGGGCGTCAAGATGCTACTCACGGCCTGCGAGAACGAGACCCACATCGACTTGATCGTGAACTCGCTGAAGGCCGCGCCGATGTCCGTGTTGGGAGGGTTGGGACGCTTTGGATGCGAATCCCGTTGCATGAAAAGGGACTTCTGCTTGAGACATGATCCCTTTGGATGCGCTTGGTCATTCTTGGGGCGTTGCCCAAGGCGCTGATCCCCTTCGCTTGCTCCGACGAGTTCCGGCCGCAGCTGGGGATGGACGGGGCCCTGGACACGTTCTCGGCCTTCATGTTCTCCGACCAACTGCAGCTGCAGCAGTTGGGCATCTACCTGCTGCAGAACCTCCTGGAGACCTGGGCTTTTTTTAACAACCGTGTTTGGAGACCCTTTTGCTGTTTTGCCTGAGGGCGCATTGGCTCGTTGACGGACATCGCATTGGCTCAGGAGTTCCGAGAGAACCGGCGCATCTTCCTGGGGGTTTCGGAGGAGAGGAAGTGCGAGGAGGACTACCTGGAGAGCCTCCTGCGGCTCCTGCCCCGGGTGTCCACCGGTCAGCCGCAGCGCATCAAGGCCATGAAGAAGGGCAAAGAGAAGAACGACCCGGAGGCGAATCGAAGAAAAAAGCGAAGAAAACGCGCAAGCAGCGCAATAAGTTCACGAAGTGCACCGCAAAAAAAGCGCTTGAAGCCTTCTGCTTCAGCTTTCGCAGCCGCAAAACGCCACAACCCTCCCCCCAGGTGATCCTCACGGACCACGACCCCTTCGTGCTGAGATGCTGCATCCATTGCATCGCTCTGGTGAGCCTGGAGCACAACCTGCCCAGCTTCCAGCGCTTCGTGGATCTAGGCCCTCGAAACATCCCCCCTTGTCCCAAAGCAAAAGAACACACGACTTCCCCTGCGTGCCTACCGCGAGACTGTTGTGAAAGCCGGGTGTTGCGAGGATTCCCTCCGAAAAACGTGAATACATGTCGTCACAGGGGGCCCTAACATGACTTTTGCGTGCCTTGCGTGGCACAAAGTCTTGCAGCCGGTAGGACTGTCTAAGCAGCTACAGCTGAGGATTGACGCTGCTATTTCTGTTCCATGTCACAATGTGCATCCAAGTGAGATCAGTTTGCAAGCCGCTGCCTCTTAGAACAGGTCTTGCGAGTTTCTCTGGGTATGGATAGTATGGATGTGGTGGGTTCACTCAGTGAGGTCTTGACCCAGGATTATTTGCAATCCCGTTTCCGCGAAGCGAGCGAAAACCGCCCGGTACTGGGCTATGCAGGTGCAAAGACTGCGTGGACTGGATGCAATGGCAACAGCAAATTGCTCTGCGTGTCAGAAGCGTCACGCTGCACAAGCAAAGTGGACAACTCAGGTCTTGAGCCAACGGGAGTAGATTGTGGATGGATTTCCAACAGCCGACAAGACGAGAAACACACAGCCGGCCCACGCTCCCTAAAAGCATTTGTCCACCCGCGCAGCAGCATGTTTGCGCGAAGCGCTAATTTGAAACAGTTGGTTTTGGAAAAGTTGCCGGGGGGCGTGTCAACCAAAACATGCGACGAAGAAACATACCAGCGTGGACCCGCCTCCAGACAGCAGCAGAGGGGGAAGAATCGCTGGCAACTTGGTGCAAAACAGAAGCATGGTGATGCATAAGGCGTGAAAGCTACAGGCATCAGTGACGAATGAGATGGCGCCAATGATGATGCAGGCAGTGTGACCCACAAGGATCACGAGGTAGCGCATCGTGGCGATGGCATCGTCGCGACGATGCAAAAGTGCCCTGGCGACGCAGGCACAATCACGGATGCGTCTCGACCACTATAGGTAGCGCTGAGTGTTTGCTTAGTGCTCCAGGCCTAGTGTGAGACGCGCTTCGTGATCTCGCATGTGTTGTGATGCGGGCAGTATCAGAGTGACCAGCCCAGGGAGCATAATGCCCGCGGCGCTGAGCCCTGAACCTCGAGACAGGTTCTGCGCACGTGCCTTGCCAGGCCTCCCAAAGTTGCTCTTCGATCTGTTCTACAGCGAGCAGATCGACAAAAGCTCCGGGGAGGCCGTGGTGCTTTTCTTCGCCAACATCCTGCACAGCGCCAAGCAGATCCAGGCAAAGTCCGAATTCCCTCGCTGGGAGTTTCACGAGACATCTTAAGTTGGTGGCGTTTGCAAGTTTGGGGCGCATGACGCAGACGTCGAACTTGCCAGCATCGGTGCTGTTTTGCATGCCTTGTTCCCGCCATGGCAGGAAGTGCTTCGTTTGACCCCCACTCGACCTTCATTAGTCGGTTTGGGTTGGTGGTGCGAGGATTTGAACCTCCTGGTTCTTGTAGAGGCTAAATGGGACACTGCCCTGAATCATACCACCCCACCGTTTGCTGTGTTATCCCGAACCTTGCTCCAAGCGGGGCGACTGGTACCCCTGTTGGGCATTGTGCTTGTTCGCGTCGAAAGCCAAGCCTGCGGTTCTCATTGCAGCCTTTCAGAATCCTTCTTCCTTTCAGAATCCTTCCATCAGGCTTCTCCTTATATATTCCGCTTCATGTCGAACATCTCCGCCTTGATGGCCTGTTCGCCACACAGCTTGGGACTATTCCCCAGTTGGTTCTTTCCACCTTTGCACTGTCCGCAAAGGCGTATCGCTTATGCCACGCCCCAGAAACCCCAAAGTACTTCAATCACAATGCCCTTCTCCGAGTCACTCTCGACAGTCCAAAGCCTTGGTCTCAGCCGCTTCGGTGACTTCGGTTTACTCCGCGCTCAAAGGCCAGGCCCTGGCCTTGTCGCCAACGTAGTCCAGCTCCTCCAATCAGAGGCGATGCCAAAAGGTTGCGTTGCCTCCAGCCGTGCCTTCTCGAGCTGTCTGCGATGCCTGTAAAAAAGCGGGTGTGACGCTTGTTGTTGGATCGGGGCCGCTGAATTCACCTGCAACTTCTGCAGGTCCTTATATTCCTTGCTCAGGGGCCACTCCAGCTCAGGCGCCTATTATTTCTGTTGCTGAGCTGAAGCGATGTCTCGCCTGCACACACGCACACACACACACGGGCATACACCCATGTCCACCTTAACCTCGGCTCCTCCCATCCTTGGCAGGGGAACCTTCTCCCCCCACATCATATGCCCATCCTTTCTTTGCCCTCAGCTTGCATGCCAGTTACCATTATCTCGTATTGTCAGCTTGACCGCATGAATCTGGACAGCATGTGCCTCAGAAGCGGATTGAGTTTCTCTGCGTGGAGACGCTGATTAGTTTCCAACGAGGCAGATCTTTTGATTTCCCTCCGGCGCTTTCTTTGCAGACTGCCTAGCGCACGATTCCGCAACTCCTTGCCGTTGTCATGGCCAGTTTGGTTCTTCGAGAAATTGCATGCTGGATTGCAAGTTGGCCTTTTTCTGGGCCGCAAATCAGGATTTGAATCTTCAATCCAGAAGGGTTTGGTCGTTGAAAAGCCGAAGAATGAAGTGTTGACTTAGTGCTGGAATGGCTCGGCTGCTAAGCACGCATGAGGTTGAAAGGATAAATGCAGATTTTGAAGCTTCTAAACTCCTCCGATATTACTCTGCTACTACAGCGTTTGCATGGCGACGGGTGCTGGAGAGCTTTTTGAGTCGCGGATGCTGGGCGGTTTTGCTGTTGCCGGGTGCTGTGGGCCGTGCTCTTACAGGTTGCTGGCAAGTGAGACTGAGAGTTCTGGTTGGGAAATGTGCCGTTGCATAGGGTGCTGGTGGAGGGTGTGAGTATTGGGGTCTGTGCTGTTGCGGGATGATGAACTCGCAGTGTTTTACACTCGTTGCACATCTTGCTTGTTGGGCGTCCATGCCGTTTTGTCGTGACTTGTTTTACCTGCACATTGCCAAGCTGCGAAGATGAACATCATGAGCCCCGGATACCTTTTGCCCACCTCATCCGCTTGCCATACGCAGTGGAATCAAGCTGCAAAGCTTCCAATGCAAAAGCCAGCAAGCTTGATATTTTTTTGTTGATAAGCGGGTTGGCCCCCCGGCCCGGATCCGCGATCCGCGATCCAGGCGCAGATCATGAAAGGTGCGGATATCGTGCAGCTGCTGCTGTCCGCCCGGGATATGCTGTTCTCCCCACACACTGTGTCCCGTTGCCTGTCGGCGTTGCTGTGCATCGCCCGGGTGCCGGACTTCAAGCGGGTGGTGCTGAGCCACCTGGATTTACTGATGGCGGACATCAACGCCAACTTGAACGCGGAGGAGCGGGACGAGCACTTTTATCAGATCGCCGCCCTGCAGTGCGCGCTGCTGTCGGAGCTGGCGAGGGCCAGCTACGAGTACCACGAGCGCATGGCCAAGGCGGGCATGGTGGAGGCGCTGTTGGTCTTCATCACGGTGGCCGGCAGAGGCTTGAACGGGGAGGTGTGCATCGAGCTGCTCATGGGCGCCGTCTTCGGCATCGCGGCGCTGGTGGGGTCCCCCACCGGGGGGGACCACTCCATGGCCAGCCTCATCTTCCCGGCCACCCGCATGCAGCTGCTGCTCAGCCTGCTGCGACTGCCCCAGGAGGACATCAACGCGGCCTTCCACTCCGGCACCGTGGGCCTGCGCACGCTGCAGCGGGTCATCTACCCCAACATCACTCCGGAGGAGCTGCATGTGGACCAGATGGATCTACTCAGCTTCCTGGGCAACTGCGCCATTAAGCCCGCCAACTTCATCTACAGGCCCGCATGTAAGACATGCGTCATGCCGAGGCCATGCCGAGGCCTTCAGGGCCTCGTAGTTCTTGTGGAGAGCTCCGGACTGCATGTTCTTGGCTCGCCTCTTTTCCAGCTCTGTTCTCTCGCAGGAACGTGATCCGAACCATGTGCCTTCTCCTGGCGCACCACGAGATGGGGCCCAGGCCGCGTGGGTTCTGGGCAGGGCCCCGAATTCGATGATCTTGTGGCTTGCAGCATGAGCTTCATTGGTGGAGAACAAGTGGTGGGCGTTCTTCAGCAAGCTGCTGGAAAAGCTTTTCAACGGTTGGGATGACCATATTGCAGAGCAGTGCTCAGTGAGTGTCATGCTGGTTTCAAACGGGATCCTCCTAGACTGCACAGTTTGAATTCCAGGAGCAATCCAATGGTGTCTGAGAATGCAGGGCCTCCTTTTTTAAGGGCTTTGCTTGGTTTTCTTGCAAGCTCCCTTCACACCCTAAGCTGGTTCGGCTCCGAACGCGGCGCCGAATCGAAGCGCCAGGGTGCAGCAAGCGATCGCCCCGAGCAACGTGGTGCCCACCTGCCTCTTTGCCATGAAAGGCTGCGAGGACACGTACGTCCAGGCACGTTTTTCCTGTCGGTACAAGCACGCAAGCAAATAGTCGGAACAAAGACACACCCAGACACAAGCACAAGCACGTCACACACCCACACAGCAAAATGCAAACAACAAACTAACAAACACAGACACACAGAGATGTCATGCAGAAGCAGCATAAACACAAGCAGACAAGCACACACACACAGACATGGGCAAACACGTGAACACGGGCACCCGAACGCAAGGTCAAGCCCGCCAGCAGCGTGGAGCTCACAAACAAGCAAACACACAGACACACACACAGACATTCGAACAATCGAACACGCAACATGCAATCTCACACATTGCAAACCCCTCGCGACACACACGCACGCACACACACAGACACAGACACAGACACAGAGACAGAGACAGAGAGAGAGAGAGAAAGAGAGAGAGAGAGAGAGAGAGAGAGACAGAGACAGAGACAGAGACAGAGACAGAGACAGAGACAGAGAGACACACAAACACAGACACAGACACCGACACAGACACACACAGACACAGACACAGACACAGACACAGACACAGACACAGACACAGACCAGACACAGGACACACACCACGCACACAAACGCATGCACACACACAGACAAGAGCACGCAAACACAAGGGCACACAGACTTTTTACATCCTTGTGACAATTGAAGCATTCTTTTCGCAAATGCAGCAGTCGCGACTGCCTTTTTTATCATTGTCAATTTGGTTTCTCTCGTGACACGAGAGAAATCCGAAGGGATGGTGATTGGCAATCACGGCCATGCCTGCCACTTGGCAGGTCTACGGATTTTTGCTGGTTGCAAATTTCAGCCGGGACCGCAGCTTGCTGTACAACTTCCTCAACGAGTCCGCGGTGATCAACGCGCCTTGGGCCTTGTGTCGGCTTGCTGTGTCGTCTATGTGCGGAAATGACAACTTCTGTGATACAACAATAAGGGCTGCCCAAACACTACCCCCCCCACAAAACGGGGGAGATTCCCTTGTATCACAGGGGTAAAACCCCTTGATCCCACCCTGATCCACGCTGGCCAGCCGCGTGCCCTGAGGAGCTGCTGACCACGATCCGGAGGTCCGCGGCCAGCGCTTCTCAGCCGGAGGAGCAGGTCCCGGTGAGGGAGACGCTGGCCACGGTCACGGGCCCTTGGAGCAGCAGCGCCGTGTCCAGGAACCGCCGGGGCCCCAGAGGGGCTCTAAGCGGAGCAAGCGCAGTCGGAGTGGAGTTGCTTGATATGATACTATATATTATATACATTATATATAGGTATATATATATATAGATTGATGACTATATTCGTACATCTACTATGTTGAATATATTTTGACATGTATATTGTGAGCAGCAGTGCCGGGATGCCGGCCCTTGTGTGCTTGGAGTTGTACTCGACCTGCGGTTGGGGCCTCTTCCACGCCGCATGAGGCTACATGCTGGCTATGTCGGCCCTCACAAACTTTGCGGAGCCGCTCGGCAGGGAGCGGCAAAGCGTCAGTCCGAGCCAGCAAGAAACTGTCCTATCTTTATCACATTGTTGTAGGTCTGCCAGATGATTCTTGGACCCTTGAAGCTTGACGTGTTCAGAGACAGCCCGTTTGCCAATCTGAGTTCATTACCGTATCACCTGAGGCCTGAGGGGGTAGTATAATTGTTCAACCACTCACATCAGCCTCACTCACCAGCAGTCCGCATTGATCGTTCGGACTCAGCCGTGTTTTTGGTGTGGTCTCAATCGTTGCGGGATCGGCCCGAGGCGTGTCAAGGAGAAGTTCCGTGGGGACGACGGAGAAATCCCCGTGAATCCTGACATGAAGGCGCGTCAGCTTGTCGGATCCATGCGATTCAGTGACTTGCTTTCGGTCCACATGGTATGGTGAAAGCTACAGCAATCTTTTTTGCCTCGCAGACAAGAGGAAACCAACTTGAGACCAGCTACTTGCAGGATCCCAAGTATGTAAACGAAGGCTTGCCCTGGCGATGCTTGGGAATCCATGAGAAGGGACGCTGGGCACTGGGTTCAGCGGAAAGCTGTGGCTCTTTGGCAAGTTGAGCTTGAACGTCGTGCGGAGCATTGATCCGAGTCTTGACATTGATGGTTGACAGTGCTAGCGGCTCCTGGAACATGTTTCATGGATTTTTGGAGTCCAAGATGGATCTGTTCCATCTTGAGATCCAGCGCAGTCTCTGTGGCCGCGCTGAGCCTCAATCTGTTTTGATCGAGTGACGGCGTCAGGATGACGGCGGTCTGGTCATCTCCAACCGCATCACCCTGAACAAACTGACCTCCACTTGTATGAGGGTGCCTCGGGCTGGGTTGTCGAGCGGCCAAGGCGGTTCCGAGTCTACCACGAATGATTGAAAGCAGAATATGATTCACATCAAATATGACTACAATGACAATTATGCTACAAGTGAAAACAACCGAAGTGGACAAAGTGCCATCTGCAAGTGACATGTGGCTCTGTCAGTTCAAATGACGTGCCAGGAGTTGGACACCATTGGCATGGAGCGGAAGCTCGGAGAGCTTCAGCCCACCGAGGAGTTCATCGCCATGCTGCGCGCTCGGAGCCCCAGACGGGGGGCGAAGGGGTCGCGGAGCCGTCGGACCCGTCGGACCCCGAATCGAAAGTCCCGCTCGCAATCATTTTCGTGGCAAGTGGGCCTGCGGCAATGGCCCCAAGTCCAAGCTTAGTTGCCACGCCTGACGATCCGACTGCAGGTCTTGGTTTGCGCCAACAACTTCCTGGCCAAGGTGGAGCTTGAGGATCCCGGGCGTGGTGGAGAGGCAATGTCACGACTCCACCTTTTGGAGCCAAGCTCCATCTCCATGGGATCGAGTCTGACGCAAAGTGGATGCAGGTGAAGTTGGAAGCTTGGGATGCCGGCACCTCAGTCACCTCAGTGAGAGCCCTGAGAGCCCTGAGCATGAGAGCAGTTCACGAGCCCCGGGTCTTGCCGTCTTGCCCAGACCAGCTATGTGAACTTGCTGGGGGACGACAAGAAAGCCAAGGACAACCTGGCCGCGGTCTCAGCATTTGGGTACAGACACGGACCTTGCCCCAGATATCTTGAAGCTCTGGCTGAGGTGCTGCAACCTCTGCGCCATGACTTCAGGAGATGGCTCTTTGCGCCAGGGTTGCGAGAAATAGGGACCCCATTGTAGAGCCGCTTTTTTTCACGGGGGCCAACATGAATGAAAGACCTCGCATCTTTTTATCTGAAGTTTTGAGGTCCAGAGCCCATTGGTTCTGGATGTGAGTACAGACTTCAAGTTGCGGAGGACTTTGGGGATGCTACACAGCAAGACGCAGGGTATGCTGGAGGCAGGCTTTGAGCGTTGGTTGGCTTGTTACATTCGTATTTCTCTGATCCCTGGCTTGTCCCTCGGCCGATCTCAGCGTTCATCGCCATGAGGTGGTGAAGCTTTGCTTGAACTCCGGGCAGGCTCGCCCTCCAGCGTATCCAGGTAGAGCTACTCGAAGGTTTGTATGGGAGACTGCCAGTCAGAAATATGTGCCGTGACGATTTCTCGCATGGTTCCATGGGTCTTTGGTATGACCGCCGCTCAGATTTGGAACCTAACTGACTTTCTCATTAGACCTTAGACCTTTGCCTCAGCGGGGAAGAGCAACCCGGGTACAGAGCTCCTTCTTTCCCTTGCACCTGAGCGCAGGCATCGTCACTGGTGGCGGCTGTCGTCGAGTGCCTTACCGGCCGAGCTCCAAATCGCAATGTGTTCAGCCGCGTGAGAGGGCGACATATTGCGATCATGAGTGCACATCCATCTTTGAGGCCTCACCTTCCTCAGCCCGCTGAGTGCTCCTGACTCAGCCACGTGACATGTGGCAATGCTTCGGACGAGGGATCTTCCGCTTCACCAACTTGTATTGGAAGGGACCCAGGGTGTTGGACAAATTTTTCGTTGGCCTTCCGCCACTGAGATCCGAGCTCCCTTGGTGGCGTACAAGATCTCTCTTGGCTGCGGTGAGCTAAGATGATGATGGAACCAACCCCGTGAGGCAACCCTGCACACGTGTTTCGAGCTGCAAGGGGTCTGTACGTTCGGATGTGCCTCAGGTCCGGAGTGGCTCCAGCCCAGCCTGATGGCGCCACTTGTGCGCACGGCTCGCCTTGGGAGCCATCCTTTTCCCGCCTTTTCCCCTTTCCCAGCAGCTTCCAGGTGTCGCGTTTTCGGACCGGGATGTGTGGGTGCTACGAGCTGCGCATGAGGCTGATTGCCAACTCCTTGGCCCATCCAGCTCGCATCAAGCAGTTCGACGAGGACGGCTTCTGCTGCTCGCGGCCGCTTCCGTTTGCTTGGACTTTCAGGAAGAGCCCGAGTGCATGCTGCGAGCCCGTTCTGCTGTGGCCTTAGAATCCTTCATCACATCTGGGCACTTCTCCCACTTTCCGCTTCCGCCGAGGACCATCTTTTCCCAATGCTGGCCACCTCGACTTTGGAGATCCGCCAGAAGGTCCTCGGGGCCAGCGGCTCAAGTGAAAGTGCCTCAAATTGGGTTCTTTGTCTCTGCGCTTATCCCTGCGGGTCGTTGAAAACGGTCACCCGAGCTGCTCGCTGTCAGGTCCTGGCCAATGCAGCGGCGCAGGACGAGCTGCTGGCTGCGTCCTAAGTGCACGGAGTCGCGCCCATCTGACGCCGCCTGGAACTGAGGAGTTCATCGTCAACTCCGGGGTCTTCCGCATTTGCAAGTGCTTCGCTCAGAGTGAGTGAGGCGCCATTCCGAAGAGGCAAGCAAGACATTGCCGAGGGCCATTCCGGGCAAGGGATGGTTCGTGGAGCACTTTGCGCTCATGATCGAGCTCACGAGGATGCTCACCAACCTGCCGGGCTCCCAGCGCGGCGAGTCCTGAGTGTCTCGCGTGCCGCGTGTCTCAGGACCTGTCGTCCTGAGACGCATGAAGCCGTGATGACACCAGACACAATGGTCCACGCCTCGGACTGGCCATGCGAATTGCGCCACGCAATTAACGCAACTGGCCATGCGAACCGGCCTTGGCAATCGCAACCGGATCACGCTGAGGCTTTCCTCCGAGATGTTCTGAGACATTGCGCAGTGCTGTTCCACACAGCTGCCCGGCCAGCAACCGCTTGTTGGGTGTTGGGGTGCGTGAGTTCGCCGGGTGGATCGCTTTGGTCGTGGTTTCGTCGATTGGTCTCAGCTCAGCGAACGAGGTAGAGCTGAACAAGGAGAATAAGGAGCTGGCAAGATGATTCAAAGCAAGCGTGCTGCATCAAGTCTTGCAGATTTGCAGGAGGAGGATAAGTTCGATTACTACGAGGCCAGGCAAGGCACGCGCCAAATGCGCCAGAGAAAGAGTTGCTTGATGACGATATCTTTTTACGGCGCTCTGTGCCGGCGACCCCTGATTCACTCTCACAACATCGAAAGCCCGCTGTTCCTACTCCACCCAATGGCATTTCCAAATATGAAGTATTTCGGTCCAGGAGGAAGCCAAAGAGAAATCACAGGGAACTAAAACAAAACCAAAGGGGGAACCAAAAGGAAACAAAAAGAAACAAAAGGGAACCAAAGGGACGCCACAACAAAACCAAAGATGCTTGTTCTTACGAGCTTAGAATTCCATGACCTAGATGTGGTTGATTTCCCCCCGAACGGGAACCCTGGCCCCACCTGCCAATACCCATCGCTTCAGCTTGGCAAACAAGAGCATCTTGACGCAAGACACATCAACACAAAGGGCCATGTCGGCCATGTGCACTTGTAGGAAAAAGCCGTGACTCCCGGGCGCATCGCGAAGTAGAGAACTGTGCCATTAGAAGGCTGCGCACACTTCAGAGAGCCTAGCCATTTGGGGACACCCATTGCGAGCTGCCAACAATTTGGCTTCCCTGTTGGTAGGCCAAACGCCGTTGGTATCATCGGTATCTCTGATGATGACGACAGCGACGATGATGATGATGATGATGATGATGATGATGAGGATGATGATGATGATGATGATGATGATGATGATGATGATGACGATGACGATGACGATGACGATGACGATGATGATGATGATGATGATGATGATGATGATGATGATGATGATGATGATGATGATGATGATGTCATGGTTGCCCATTTTGCCACATTTGGCAGCTTGCCCTTTGTACTCCCCCAAGGAAGAGTGTGTCTTCATATTACCGGATTCCATGCAAAGGTCATGTTTGAGCCTGACGACGCTCCACCTCTCGGCCTGAGGCTGGGTTTGGGTGTGGACTGTCGAGAGCAGCAAGTTGGGTGTTGAGCCAACACTTTCGTCTCCAGGATCCGCTGGGAGTTGCCTCCGCAGCTCACAGAGGCGAGTGGAGCGAATCCGAAGTTTTGGCCTGTTGGGAAGACAAGATTGAAGTGTCGGCTCCAAGTCAGATCTCCGCGTGGGAGGTGCTGCCGAACACGCCTGCGGCGCGGGTGGGCGACGAGCTGCGGCCGGGCGACGAGCTGGTGGAGGCGCGGAAGGGCACGAAAGGGCTCGGTGACTCGGCGGCTGTTGAGGACTCTCGAACTTTCAACACCAAAAAAGGAAGGCAATCGGCGAAGGCTCAAAAGGAGTACGGTGTTGCCCCTTTGGCAGGTGAACGGCATGGACGTCACAGAGCTGGAGCAAGGCTTTGGCCCTTTGTGCCTGTCTTGTGCTGGATGGAATGCTTGGCCTCAATGGTTCTTACTGTGCTCTCTTGGTCCGTTCACATGCAGGCGCTTCTGACAACTAGTAACCATGGATTGCAGCAGATCGACCCGGCATTTGTGGGTGTCCTCATCAGATGTTTACAGGTATGCAATCACACTCATGCAAATCTGTACTCGCCAAGCGTGCGTGTTTGGGCATGGAGATGCGTTGGGGGAGACGTAATATTGGGCGTGCCCCACTCGCGCGCGCGTGCGCGCATTGCACGCTGATGGCAAGGAGGTGCGGCACCTAACCTGCGCTCAAACACGTGGCCGTGCCGGCAGAGCACCACAGAATTGCACGGCCCCTCTCTGTTTATGTTTGGACGGAAGGCAATCACGGCAGGGGCAGCACCAGCGACAACAACAGCTCCGCTTTCCGCTTTTCAATGGGTGATTCTGGGACACCGAGGAAAGGATGTAGCGACACTTTATAAGGTTTGTTTCTTCCATTTACAGCCACGGCGCCGCTCACGTTGACGACGAGGCCAACAATGTGCGACCTGCAGAATGAGCTCCCAAGCCAAAGGCTTGCACACTGCCCCGAAAGCACTGGTAACAAGTGTGAGAGCAAATTTACATATTGAAAAGTGCAGGCACATGGCGCCTGATGTGTCACGACAAGCCACGGACAAATCACGGCAAATCATGCTTGGGGCCAAGCGATGACAAGCACACGCAAATGCGGTGGGGAGCGTGCAAATTTGTTATTGCGAATTGAGCTTTTGTTTGGCTTTCGTCTCTTGTCTTCTGGGCTTCTTGTCGGCTTCTTGGCTTCTATGCGTTTTCGAGTTTTTGTTTGCTTGTGGGCAAAAGAGCCACACACAAATGTGTTGACATGCCGTCAGTATTTTAGCGTAGTCCCGGATCGCAAATCGTAGCTCACACACCCAAACAGTCGACAACGCAAGCGGCTTCTTAGAGGAGCTGACACCAAAAGCATATTGTAGAAAATTGCGAACGCATCCCGCCTATTCTCGCTCGTGGCGTGGTGGCGTGCTTTTCCGCAGGCGACATTGCCCCAATGTTCGAAGCCCGACCCTTGAAGCTGCTTTTCCGACGGCGGCCGGTGCCACTCGAGGCCAGCTGCATAAAGGTAGTACGCCCACATGCGGCGCATGAAGTCGGCAGGACGCGCTGGACGATGGCAGCATGAGGGTTGTTGGCAACATCCGCATTGAGGAGGTCAAAAAGGCGCCATGGTTTCGGTTGGGCGGTTGGACGGTTGGACGGTTGGACGGTTGGACGGTTGGACGGTTGGACGGTTGGACGGTTGGACGGTTGGACGGTTGGACGGTTGGACGGGGTGCACTTGGGGTTTGGGTCCCAAGAGCTCCAGCTAGGTGTCGGCCTACGGGGATTCGCAGCAGTACCTGGAGTGCTTCAACCTGGCTGTGCTGGTGGTGCACAACTTGGCGGTGCAGGTGCCAAAGCCATGCACGCCGCACTCCAACTCGATGCGAGCAACTGCCAGGCCAGCAACCTGAGCCTCCTCCACAGCGAGCCGCGCATCCTCATGGTGCTGCTGGAGGTTCCCCGAGAGAGATGGCGAATCTATGCTTCGTTGACCCAACTTCAAAATCCGGCGCAAGACATAGAAGTGCTTGAACAAAAATCAGCGCTTGCCTGATGACGTGCTTTGTCCACTGCGTTGAAAGGACGACCCCGGCCAAAATGCGGTCTCGCAATAGAACACGCCAGGTGATGCCAGCGGACGCGACCTCGCCGTCCTTGCGGCGCCTGATCTTCTCGACCCTGACGTGCCTTTGTCAGGAGCCGGCAGTCTCAGGGCGCATCTTCCATGCCATGGCGGACTTCTTCCAGAACTGCCAGAAGACGGACTCCTCCCTCCACAAGTACATCATGTGCTGCTTGGCGAGAGAGTGAGCCATGTTTTTGTGATCGGGCATGGTGGGTCTGCTCCTTCTATGTCAGGGCCTTGCATTGAGAACAGGCAGGGAGGCGAACGAAGTGAGCCAAGATTTGAGGCTGCGCCAACCTCTACTACACCAGCATGTCCCGGGACGAGGTGAAGCCCGACCGGGGCATGCTGATGTTCGTGTCGCGGATCTCCGCGGAGGAGGACGCCATGGTGTCGCGGCGGGCGCTCATCGAGATCCTGCACGGCATGTCGCAGGCGCCCAGCGAGCAGCGCCGCAAGTTCCTGAGCCGCGAGATCCTGGTGCTGGCCAGCAGCTACATGGAGAACTTCCCGGATATCCAGATCCGTGCCTTCGAGTCCTTGCGCCCGGGCAAGCAGCCGGATTCTGATCATTCTCCGGGCCATCGAGTTTCTTTCGAATGTCTCTCAAACTTAGACTTAGACTGGACATATTTCCCAGTTTTTTTTGGAAGCGTCTTCCGAGGTACTTCTGCACGTTGGGCGCGTGCGCGCCGGAGCTGTGGTCGGACCTGGAGATCCTGCCGCGCATGGTGCGGGCCGCCGGGGCCGCGCAGAACGCCGCGGAGGCCGAGGCCGGCGAGGAGCTGCGGCGCCACGCGGACGCGCTCTGGGAGATCGCGCTGCGGACGCTGCACCACTGCCTCCAATACGAGGAGCAAAAGCTTGGGGGGGTGGGAGAGGAAAGACACGAAGGGGGGGGGGGAATTTGAGAACAAGAGAAAAGAACAGAAGCGAAAAAGAAGCAAGCAACGAGTCTCCTTTCTCCTCTGAGACGTGTTTGCCACGTTCTCCTTCCGCAATGCCTCGGCTCCGGACTTCCGGACTGCCGTATGCGAGACTTGCCAGGTCTTAGTGCAGCAGATGCGGATCCCTGACCTGGACCGATACCTCATGGAGCTGCTGGTGGACGGCCGGAAGCCCCCGGAGCTGTCGAAGGTGGCCGCTGATCTGATCGCCGGGCTGCTGCAGTCCTCCATCTCTGTGAACCTTTGGACCCGGTGGCGTGGCCTCGGCGTGGGCGAGCGCCTCGTGGGCTGGTTCAAGGCACGTCTCGTGCGCTCACATGGGCCCGTTGTTTTCTGTCCCCCAGTTCCCCCGAGTTCCCCCCCTTCTTCTTCCCCGGTGAGCGTCCGGGCGTTCGGTGCGAGTGTTCAAGTTGCTGATGCCCGACCCGCGCCGGGCGACAGGTGCATCGCAAGAAGTTGGAGCCCGAGGACCCCCAGCGGGCGGTCCAGCCCTCCGACAGCCTGGATGCCATGCTCCACATGGTGCTGTTCGCGGTGGAGGCGATGCTTTCTCATGGCAAAAAAAGACATCTTATGCTGCATACTTATGCTTGTATTTGGCGTCCTTTTGCAACAAAAACAGAGGACACTTTTAAGCTGGGGGTACTCGAGAGGAATCGGACCCCCTCGTCTTGTTGAAAAACAAGACAATCAAGACAAGAAATGTTTGTCGTCCTGACAAGGAGCTGCATCTCGCCTGTTGTCGAAAACTGTTTCGGGTTGAGGTGGACGTGTCCATGGTGGTGGCGCTGGTGGCGGAGGACGTGCTCGGCTGCATCGCGCAGCGGCTCCAGGAGCTCTCGGAGAGCTACGAGCGCTGGAACGCGCTGCAGGGGGGCCACCTGCTGACGGAGGACCTGGAGGCAGAGCGCGCCCACATGGCCCCGCACGAGCTGCTTCCAGGAGAATCGGCACAGGGGAAAAGAAGGAGAAAGAATGGGAAAAGAAGGGGACACATGCATACTCTGCGCACGATGATCACCAACGTCATGTATACATCTGCCTTCCTTCAGATTCACCCCCGGTGGGAGTGAATGAAATAGGGCGGCTATCCTTTGGAAGCCATGCCAATGCTGGTGTGAACAGCCTTCTTGGACGTGGGTAGGAGATGAAGGGTACGAACAGGCAACTGCACAGTTGTGAACATTTGACCCACCTGTGAAGCCCCGGTCGTTTGTAGGTATACTGCCAGCCTCTGTCTTGTCTACTGTCAGGACAGCGCCGCCCCTCTGCAGACGAGGTGGCGAAGGCCGATGCTTCCTTCAGGCCGGCAAGTGAGAAGTCAGGCATGACGGCCCCAGTTTCCAAGAGCTCACAACAGTTCTCACGAGTCGCGTGAATCCGCGAGTCCGAATTGAGGATCATCGCCCAGCTGCTCACAGCCCTGGTGGCCAATGAGCACGGTTTATCAGCGCCCGCCCCAGAGCGCCGAGCGAAGCCGCACGCGTCAGACGCCCATTCCCAAGCACAGTTCCGAAGCAAGTCTCGGCCAAAGCCAAGTCAGGACTCGGAACGGCTCGAAAGCTCGAAAGCTCGAAACGGCTGGAGGCCATGGCAGCGATGAATCTGGAGGCGCCTTTGGTGGCGCTGCTGGAGCTGCCCACGGCCACGCTGCGGGTGCCCGTGATGCTGGTGCTCTGCGCCATGAGCTCCAACAAGGCGCGGAGACAACTGAAGGAGGCAAAAGGAGAAAAAGGACAAAGAGGAACAGGAAAGGGTGACCTGAAAAGCCGACTTCGAGTGGCGGTCAAAGCGAGTTGCCAGGCGAGCTGCCAAGTGCTCATGAACAGCGACAAGCCCGGGGCTCATTCCGGGGTTGAGGGGCCTTTGGAACGTTCGGTTCCGGGTGCAAGCCGTAGCAAGACGATTTGAAGCCTTCGGACCCAAATTGATCCTTTTCTTATCTTTCGACGCGAGGTTCCTGCGAGTGCTGCGGCGAATGGAGAAGAAGCTGAGTACACTGGGCGAGGCTCCCCCCGTCAAGGACGGAATGGGGTCGTTGGGGCGTCCGGGCGCCTCGAGCTGCTCGATGAAAGGACGAGGTGGAGTACTTGGTTTGCATCTTGGACCGCAGCTGCTGCCACGCCGACCTCGCCAAGATTGCGCAGGCCGGGCTACCAGAGAGATCAGAGAGAGGTCAAGGAGCGGGAGCCGCGGGAGTTGGGCAGGAGCAGCTCTTCCGCCTGCTTTGCGTGCTGCCTTCCAGGCCCGATGCATGCCCCACCAGTGTGTGTGTGTGTGTGTGTGTGTGTCTCTGTGTGTGTGTTTGCTCTGGGCCAAGGCATGGGCCCAGAGCGTTCGCGCACATTCTAGGAGGGTTATCAGCATAAGTGGCAGTCCATGTTGCGAATGCTCGTCACTGCCCCAAGAGGTCTTTCTCAAATTCTGATCAAGTCCAAGATCATCCCTGACTGCCCTTCCAGCTAGGAGGAACCTCTCATTCAGTGGCTACAGACTTCCCCACACATACAATCATACAGTACACTCCTCAATCCCGGGGTAGAATTCATTGTGAAGCAGCATCCCTTCCATTTCATGATTTGTACGTGACGTCTTTTTAGCTGGTTGATTATGATGCGCATGGGTAACAATGACTTCGTACCTTGGTGAGCAAGCATACAAGTAGGTGCAGGTTGCAGCGAATATAGTAAATGTCGCGTTTTGTGGACCAACACCGCACAATTATATTCTGGGAAAGGACGTAGTTTCTTTGATACATGCATGCCATCCCAAAAAAAGACACCGGCAGAAAGGCAAGCTTCTCGCATTTGAATGTTGCCCAGCGCTCTTGGATGAATTGAAGTATTTCAAAGGCTCCATCCGGTCTGTTTTTGATCAGTCCAACCATCTTGAATTGGTGTTGCAGATAAGTTTCTCATATATTCTTACACTCTGTTGTGTATGTTCTACATGGGTTCATACTAAATACTGGATGCTTTCAAGGAGAGACGACACGACGCATGTAGAGCATTTGACTATAGAACTACACGCACACAGAAAAGGGAGAGCCGGTTTCGGCTAGTCATTCAAGCAGAAGGCCGGGCGAGTGGAGACTCCTTCCGGGTTCGGGGCTTTCGGCAGGGCGGAGACCTTGTCGGCGCGGCTCATGGCCCTGCGCGCGCTGAGCCGCTGCTCCTTCGTGGCACCCGAGTGCATGAGCCATGGCAAAGCAAACCGCGGGGTGGGGCAGGCCGCTGGCATATGGGAGGCCAAAAGGACAAATTGTGCGTTTCTATGGGACGGAGGTGGCGTTTCTATGTGGGATCAGCCAGAGTCGGCCTAGGAATGACTTCGGCGTCGAGGGGACTGCCTGCCTGCAGCGCCTGGATTGCATTGAGCCTGAGCCCATCCCGTCGCCCGTCGCCCGGATGTTCTCGAGGTACATCATGGCCGTGACGTCTTCCTTGAGCCTGGGGAGTTCCGAGACGGCCGAGAAGGCCTGGAGCCGAGACTTTCACGGAAGCAATAGCGTTCCAAGCGGCTTCCGACCCGCAGCCAGTTCTTGGCGCCAGCAAAGCAAACTGAAACCACACTCACCCTGCATTTCCATTCTTGTTGGTTGTCCTCGGCTCAACGAGCGTACACAGCAGACAGCAGAATGCTGGTTTTCCAGATGGTAGCTGGCCAAAAGCTGAACAAGGGCGTGGGTCGTGGTTTGCGTCGTATGCAGGCTGCGGTCCGCCGAAGGCTGATTCAGGAGGTCAAGGAGACGCAAAATTGGATGAGTTGAGAGCTGACCGATTCTCCCCACAAATGCGCCGTGGGTGTGCCTTAAAAATATGGCCCCCTAAATGGCTGGTGTCCTCTTGGTTCCCCGTAACACCCAGCCAAACAAGGGGTTCCGCTTCGCTCGCGCACGATATGCAGGAGTCTTTGGCGGCCAACGCGGCCCTGGCGCCGCTGGTGGAGCACTTCTCCAGGACAATCCTCTGTGAGGCTCGGGGTGTGAGGGTTTTCGGATTTGTCAATGCGCTCGATGCGGCAAGACTCGACTTTTCCCACGTCATTGACTCACGGATTTGATGCGACGTGCCAGGCGGTGTCCGTGTCCCGCAGTGTTTGCCATGGCGCCTATGAGCAGCTGGACCTTCTGGGCATGCTGCAAGACCTGCAGCGCCTTGGAGCATTCGAGTCAGGAAGGCAAGGCGCACGTGTTTGTCTGCAGGGACTCCTTCGAAGTCACGGTGGCAGACTTTGACCGGCTGGCCACAGCCTCGGTGGCACTGCGCAACGCTCCTGAGATGCCCAGAGTGAGTTGGCCATGGCTGAGGATGGTAGCAAGGTGGAAGTGGCTGCAGCAGAACTCATGAACAAGCTTGTTGCCTTGCTACATGTGCTGGCCTGAGCAGCGCCAAGCACATATCCACATCAGACATGCCAAGGCCAGCTTGCAAGGCTTTTGGCAGAGAGATCTCAAGTTTCATGCTGACATCGTTCAAGTTGTGGCCAGTGACTGCGCGCAGCCTCGCAATGCGAAGGTCCTGCTGTGCACCATGTTCCGGCATGGCCGAGCCTCGCACATGTACACGAAGGCCAGACAACTTGAACTCAGAAAATTTATCCAGAAAGCAGTGCCATCATTGCCTATGCAAAGGAAGCATGATATGTGCCGGAGCCGTCGCCCAGGATGCAGATGATGTAAAGGAGCGTGCCAATGGAGGCGCGAGAGTCCCATCCGGCTGACTGGCCTCACTTGCTGACTGGCTTTTGGAGTAGGCAGGCCTTTCCAGATTTTGCAACTCCCCTCAGGCTTCTCCGACGGCGATGTGAAGGCCGCAGTGGACGGCCTGATGCAGGTCCTTGACAAGGTGCAGGTCATGCTTCATCTAGGAAGTACTGACAAGGGCCATGGTGGCAACCTTCCAGAGTTGCTTGCCACCGACATCCGGGTCCTGTTCTACCTGACAGCTTTGCTCCGTGAGGCGTCCTGCAAGCCGTTGGATTCCCCATTCTTGCGGGTGACCCGATCCACTGCCTACTTCGAAGTGCTGCACTCCTGCATCAACCTGTCTCTAGCTCGCTTCCAGCGGGAGGCCAAGGGGCCCCCGCCCAGGGACCTGTGCGCGAACAAGCTGAAGGGCGGCCCCACAGATAGCCCCCTGTCTCAGTTCATGGACGACTTCGACCTGGGCCTCATCTTTGAACACCTCATCGTGTGCTTGAGGCACACCTTGGTGCAGGCCATGTACATCGCACCAGAGGTGAGCACCAAGCTCTTGCCCTGGGCTTGGGTGTCGCAAGAGCGGCTACCTATGCACAAGGACATCATGAACTGGCTGCCGCAGATTGTGAAGCGTTACAAGCACATCTCCGCCATCCGCACCGAGACGCTCCGCTACTTTGCCTGTGCCGCCTCCTACGAGTGTGCCCCCTTTGCACGCCCAGAGGACATCACGATTGAGGCCGTGGAGGACGACGACCGCTCCGTGACGGACTCGCCCATGGCGTCGCCGACGGCCCACGGCGACGCCGGCGACGCCGCGGACCCAGGCGCGGGAGCGGCCGAGGTGCCGACGGGCCCCGCGGGTCCCGCAGCCGCGGGTCCCGCAGCCGCGGGTCCCGCAGCCGGTCCCGAGCGGGAGGCCCTGCACGACAGCTCCACGGAGACTCCGGTGGACCCGGCCATCCGACTGCCCTTTGGCGGCTTGATCTCCCTGAGGCAGAAGGAGCTCAGAAACTTCTTGGCCGAGGAACTGGAGAGATCCGAGGACATGTACTCTCTGTGCCTGGCCATGCTGTGCGTTGCCAACTTTGCCGCCTACGAAAGGCGGGTGCTCGAGGGTCCGACCTCCAAGAAACTGGGCAAGCACCTCCCAGTGGAGGAGATGTCTCGGCTGCTGCGTGGAGTTGTGAAAGTGCTGAAGCAAATTCCGAGCTTCGACGACTGGGATGTGGCAAACACTATGACCTTGCATGCTCTTCGTTTCATTTGCACCCTGGTTGCAGAGTGCAGGACAAGTGTTCCTTCAATCAGAAGGTTCTGTTTTTGCTAATTCCTCCAACGAGTCCGCCCCTCGCGGCTGACGCGTGCGCGTTGAGGCAACTTGTTGGCCTTCGAGGTGGAGTTCATCACCGCGGAGCTGCAGCATCTCAACGCCTTGGAGGAGGCGAGGCTCTGGGCCGATTTGCAACAAATCGAACTCGGAAAATCCGATTTCCTGCTCCTTTTGATCCATATCCATATCTCAGGTGAGCAAGTTGTTCGAGTACTGGTTCCACGACGAGGACAAGATTGAGGACGACAAGCTGTACATCCAGACGCTGCAGAGCTTCATTCTGTTGGTGCGGAACTGGAGCTGCGGCAGCTGCCGGGCGGAGCTTAAGGTCAAGGAGAAGAAGGAGACTGCCACCTCACGCGAGGAGCGTGACTCTGCGGCGAGCTTGCTGAAGGTCTTCAAGTCGGGCATCAACGCGCCTCTCATATTTTTTGTATATATGGCTGAATTGCTGCATGTTGGTGTATATTTGTCTATTGCCTTTTACTTTGCATATTTTTGAGATAACAAGTGATTCGTGTTGTTTCACCGGAGCCAGTTTTTTTCGGTGTGTTGCTCGTGCCAGGGGGTGAACCAAGTGTTTTTGTTGTAGGGATTTTCTGCTGACAAGCAGTGCAGGTGCCGTACCTTATCACTCTGACAATGAAGTTCTCGAAGACGCTCATCACAGGCAGACGGCCGATTCCCAACAAGGACGAGGAGAGGGACAAAGTGATTGGTGACGTGCTGGTGATCCTGCAGACGCTGCTCAGGCGCACAGACACCCTCCAGAACATGAGCTGGGAGAAGGTGGACATCATCGACTATGAGAACTTCCTGTACGTCCTGAAAACTCACCGCCTAAGGCGCACCGAGATTCTGGAGGATGAGCAGATCCTGAACACTTTATACTTGATGGTGAAGCAGGCCTTCCCCTTCAAGGGCCTGGTGTTTTTGGAGTATTTGATGGAGGTGGCGTATGGGGACCACCGGGAGGAGCACACGACGCTGCAGGACATGGCCGCGGTGTGCTGCGCCATCATCTCCACGCAAAACGCGACGGACGCGTCCACGCCCACGGTGAACGTGGCCAGCGTGGTGAAGGACAACGCCCAGTTTGTGCACGCGCTGGACCGAGTCCCGGATCCCAAGATGCAGATCTGGCACTACCGTCTGCTCACCGGCTGGAGCCGTCGGCCCAAGGTGCTGGATGACTTGGTGGGGGATGCGGAGGCATTGAAGTTCGTGGTGGACCACCTGCTGGAGACCCACTTGTGCCGCTACAGCGTGGTCATCGTGCACAACATCTCTATGCTGCGGTCCGCCGCTCTGCTGAGCCCCGGGCACATCTCCACCATCTGCGAGGCCTACGCCCAGCTGGGCCCCGGCGCCACGCTGCACCGCGGGGACGAGCAGCAGCGGCGCCTGGTGCGGCGCCTGCTGCTGGCCTCTGTGAGGAACTGCCTTTGGCACGGCTCCGGCGCCGGCCTCAGCGACCCGGACATGCTCAGCGTCATCAACCTCGTGGCCTGCATTGAGGACCGACTCTCCCACCGCTGCTCTTGAGCTTTTGAGAAAGAAAGAAAAAAAGAAAGCAAAGAAAAGAAAGCAAGCAAGCAAGCAAGCAAGCAAGCATACAAACAAAGGAACAAACCAACAAACAAGCAAACAAGCACGCACATACACACACACACACACCCACATCCACACCACACACGCACACGCACGCGCACGCGCACGCGCACGCACACGCACACACACGCACACGCACACGCACACGCACACCCACACACACACACAAATACACACACACACAAATACACACACACACACACACAAATACACACACACACACACACACACACACACACACACACACACACACACACACACACACACACACACACACACACACACACACACACACACACACACACACACACACACACACACACACACACACACACACACACACACACACACACACACACACACACACACACACACACACACACACACACACACACACACACACACACACACACACACACACACACACACACACACACACACACACACACACACACACACACACACACACACACACACACACACACACACACACACACACACACACACACACACACACACACACACACACACACACACACACACACACACACACACACACACACACACACACACACACACACACACACACACACACACACACACAGACACACACACACTTATCTCGAGAGGCTGCTCTTGCAGACACGCGATTGTACTGAAAAGGCATGAAAAAATCAATCTGCAGTGCAAATGTCACATCATCGAAACCGAACATGAAGCAAACAGTGGTAAACCGAGGAAACACATTAGGTCACGAAAGGATGGCAGGTACGCCGGAATGGCCAATTCCGGTATCCCGTCTTGCTGCCTAGCTTTGTTAGACCAGGTCAGCAGCAAGACGCCTGGTCCCCCTGCAATGTGGAATTTCCGTCCGTGCTCCAGGACGCTTCACACACACGGAGCCCCAACTGGGGCGACATCACTTGTGCAAGGCCCATTGAGTCTTGCAAGCATCAATTGTGCGAGAAAGTCTTGTGGCGATGACTGACCACGCATACTTGGCTTTGGAATGGGTCTTAAGGGAACGGAGGAGTTCAAGGAGGGGTGTTGGTGGTGAGTTGGTCAGGTCCTCAATGGCGGGGTTGAGCGTGGCCTCCGGTGCCAAATCAGGTTCGGCAGGCGGACTCTCAGGGAACTCGCGGATGGTGGCGATGCCTTGTTGGGCAATGCCAAGGATGAGTTCGAAGTCTTGGAGCAGCTGGCGTGCTGTGTTGGTATCCATGCTCGCAACGGATTTTGGTCAAACAGTCAAACAGCTGCGGCGCGAAAATCAGGTCAAATCTGTCAGGATGCAAAGGCAGAGAAGAAAACCAGTGTGGTTCCGCAAAGGACGGTTTTTCTTCTCTTTGTAAGGTGAAACCGTGTTGGAGGTACAACCTCTTCAATATTGCAAGATCCTGATCTCGCTGAAATTCAGGAAAGGAAACTCGGCTGATCAGCGTGCGTCTGGAATAACATCCAGATTCCTTATGTATCAGTGGTGCGGCTGACTTGACGGAGAGCATGTTGTGCTTCTCATGCGAGGGGATGAAGGAGATGGTGCTGCTTGTGAGGTTCAGTCGGAACCCCAAGAAGTCCAGGGCGGCTTCTGTGTCCAGGAAGATGTCTCCTCCATAGAAGTGTTCGTCGCACAGTATGTTGGCTGCCGGAGTCGAGAGCCACCTGGGGGTTGCGATCACGAGTCTGTTGTCCACGTAGCGGAGTAGGAGAGTATCTTCAACGGAGCGAAGTCCCGATGTGATGTGAGTGTTGGTCCAACATTGTTCGGCGACCGCGATCACCATCAAACAGAGAGCTGGGGACGCGGGGGATCCCATCGGTGCCCCACGTGTTTGCCTGAATGAACGAAGGCCGACAGAGAAGATCTGCATGTCAAGGGTGGCCTGAATGATCTCGGGGATGTCGTCGAGCCACAGGGTGCGTTGTGTGGGTTTGTGTCGGCGACGGCGTCCGTTGTAGACGCGGGTGATGGCAGAGGTGTCAAGTGTGTCCACTGTGAGGTGTGGTAGAGGAGTGTGGTTGTCGTTGTCGGTACCAGGTTAGCAGTAGTCGCCAGGCGAGGAAGGGTGCAAGCATCGGTCTGGAGGGGCCAGGTGGAATGAGGCCCCGGAATCGTAAACTGGATCGAATGGCGGAAAGGCATGCTTGGTGGTGTGGTTCAGGCAGGTGTGTGGCTATGCGATGAAGGACATAGAGAGCGGCGGGTGGGAAGTCTCTGCTCCGTATGTAACGGATGGCATCAAATCGTCGTAGAGTGTTGCTGCCAAGATCGCCCAAAAATCGCCACAAATCCAGGCGGTTGTTCATGCGTTTGGCCAGGAAGGCCTGTTGTAGGGCGATGGGTAGTCGTAGTCGGCGGCGTTTTCGCCAGATGGTGGCGAAGCCCATGTGCCGGGATTGGGAGAAGTCCAATTGGCGTATGAAGCCCGTGCGTGGCCGGAAATGTTTCTCGATGAAGCCAAAATTGAGAGACGGTTGCAGTTCCTGGATGTAGAACTGTTCAATGGCAAATAGGTCCGTTGCTGGAACGACAGTGTGAATGGGCACCGAGGTGCAGTGGTGGAAAATGTCAAAATGTGCCCACCACCGGACTGCCAGTTCGGCATTGACCAGATGATGTCGCTGAACTTGGAGTAGTTTGCGAAGTTGGCTGTGGTCCCGTGCCATGAGGGAGGTGCGAGTGGCTCCGAGGTAGAAAAAGGTCTGCCACTTTGGATGGCTGGTGAATCTCAGATAAACCGCTGAAGGGACAAGCTGAGAAGAGAAATCGGAAGCAGGGTTGTCCAGGCCAAGTCGAGTAAGCAGGGCTTTCAGTCTGCCGGAAACACAGGAGAGATGGCAGACGTCAAGTAGCTGAAGCTGTGCGAGTAGCCAGGAGCAAAAATGACGTGCGGTGACGTCATCGGTTGGGAAGAACCGAAGAGTGAAACGGAGGACAGTGAGAAGTTGGCAGCAGTGGTGTTGCCAAAATTTGTGCTGCCTGGCTGTGCGTCGTTGTCGGTGTGCTGTTGAGAGTCACTGGTAGAAGTGACTCGCAGCGGCCAGGATGCGGCCCAAGGCCGATGACCCCAGTTTTGATAGGGTTCGCACCGGGATGCCCCATAGCACAGCGGCTCGTTCGAGTTGGGCTCTGGTGTCGGAGTCCAGTGTGGTTGCCCATTTTGCGCAGTCGTTGGACCAGCTTTTTAGGACCAGCTTTTTAGGACTTGCTTGCTCTCTTTGCTGGTTTTCTGGGAGGTGATCCATCGCTGGACTTTGGTGTCGGAAATGTCGGGTGGGAAGTTGTTGGTGAGCCATTGGCAAACGTGGGGAGGTGGTTGGAGCAAGTCGCGGGGCTCCTTCCAAGTGGGTGGGGAGGGGGGGGGAGGGGTCGGGGTGCCGCCGTGGGTGGAGGGGGCTGGAGGGTTGCCGCCGTGGGTGGGGGGAGCCGGGGGGGGTTGGGAGTCGTCTGCAATGCGAGTGGGCAGGGGTAGGGCGGGGGATCCGTCCTGCGGTGATGTGTCAGGTGTAGTCAACCGTGGTCGCTTCATGCCGAAGTCCAGGAGGGAGGCCTGAGATGGATTGGCTGGGCGTTTGTTGGATGAGGTGGGTGTGGGGGGGAGGGGGGGGGATGAAGCCTGCTGGGCGAGTTGGTTGTGTGCGTCAGCAAGCTGTTGCTGAAGCTGGAGTATGGTGGCCGCGGAGGCCGGGTCGGCCGTAGTGGTGGGTCGGAGGGAGATGAGGAAGTCGAAGATCTTGCTGGTGAGTAGCTTCATGGCTGCTGGTTTGGTGGTCGAGGCGCCCTCCTGCGTGGCTACATGGAGGGCGAGGGCGTCCAGGTCGAGGTGCCGTTGTCGGATTTGGCTGAGTAGTCCAGCAGCAAACACTGATTCCGGCATCGACTTTGCGACAACGATGCGGACTTCGCCTCCGTGGGCGAGGTGACGCAACCACCAACTGTTCCACTGTTCGTGCATGAGGTGGAGGAGGGGGACGCGAGCGATGTCTTGTCCCTCGATGCCCATTTGCCGAGTAAACGCGGTGTGCGTTATGACCTTGGGCAGGTCGTACCCCGCGACGCGGGTGGTGTCGTAGTGATCGTCGCCAGGGTTGAACTCGGTTGGTGTTGGGACTGAGTGGATGGGTCGAAGGGCCGGGGGAGGTTTGGAGGGGGAGGGGGAAGGTGGAGGGCGGGTGAAGGGGCCGGGGGGAGGGGGGGAAAGGGGTTGCCGCCGGGAGGGGGGGGGAGAGAGCCGCCAAAGGAGGGTGGACGAGGGCCGGGGTGTGGTGGGTAATGGGGAATAGGTTGGCCGTAGGTCTGACAGGGAGTCGGATGTGTAGCTGGCGGTGCCGATGCCGTGGAAGAGCATCCGTAGGAAGGCCCGGACAGGGCCCCGCACGGGTTCCCGGCCATGTTGTTGCCGTACACGATGCCATGATGATGGGATGCCGTGGGCGAAGGCTGCGGTGGTAAGTTTTGCCTTTGGAGCGCCGGAACCAAACCTCGAGGGGGTTGGAAAGCCATGAGAAAACACGGGGGAAAAGGAAATGTTCGAACCAAAAGCTGGTGAGCGGAATCAAGCGGGTAAGGTCACAAGGCGAGAGAACGGTCGCGGAAAGGCAGAACAGCAAAGCAAAGAAAAGCAAAGAAAAAAGGCGATCAAACAGTGCACCAATTCTTTTCCTGGTCGGGTGGAAGATGGTACACTTGCGCCCCGCTAAGCCGGGCGCTGCAGCGCGATGCCTCTCAGCATCGCAAACTTGGAGTGAAGGCACCACTTTTTGCCTCGGCGGCATGCGAAGTGGCGCCGCACGTTGTGTTGATCCTCGTGGCTTCCCCCGGATTCGAGGATTTTGTGCTGATTGATGGAGCGTAGTTCCCCAAAAGCGATGGCGCCGAGTTGAGACTTTCCGATTGTAAAGTCCTGCAAGAGCTGGCCGAGCGTGTCGGGCGT